ACAGAGTATCCAAGTCAGTGCCATCCAAGATTTTCTCTTTATTAGAAAGCCAAAGCTTACCCATGGTTAGTGCCTGGGATTGGTCTTGCTTCCCTAAACCCAGTACAGTAGTTAGTAGATCTAGGCACTAATGCCCACTGGGATCACATGCCTAAGAAGTAGAAGTTTTAAAATGTCAATTTTTGTCACCATTTCTTTTCCCTAGAACTCTGACAAGGGCTTTTAAATCTTTCCCAGAGCCTAGACACCATCATTCCAAAGTATCTCTCAGATTCTGAAAATTATCAATCTAGAAGTATCTGCTGTTACATTTAACTGCCTGTGGACCTTGATGCTGATTGGACATAACCTGAGTCTGCTATAGTTCTTTGGATAGTGTGGACTGAAGACCAATCCTGGAGGTATCATATAGAAAACCAAGTTAACCCCTATGGTAGATCTTACATCATTCTGGCTTCCTCTCTCTGTTGCTGAGATCTAGCCTATTTTGCATTTTTTCCCCTCCTACCCTCCCTTTCTTTATCCCTTTTCCCTTTCTGTCCTTAAAACATCTGTAGGATTTCTGGTTGAGGGACTATGCAAGGTACAGCTGCACCTAAACAATGCGTAAGGATCTTGTATATGGGGCCCAATAGTTTGCTTCAGAAATAAGTGCTTTGCTAATGAGGTCCACCTGGAAGGTTTGCAGCTGGTATGGTCACTCTGCTAGAATGGGTGCTGTGTCTGAACATCTAGATCAGTGCCTGTCCAGGCCAGAGTTTTCCTCTACCTGAGGTCTACTCTCAGCCATTCAGGGTATCTAGATATCAGCAGGGGAAACCTTTGACGTTTCTATCTCTTCTCACCATCACTTGTATGGGCAAGGTACAGATTTCCTCTTTACAAGTAGAGCCTACTATGGTTCTATTTGAGATACCTAATCAGAGATTCTCTTTTATCATTTCTCCTTCCACTTATAGCCCAATTCAGAGTCTAAAACCTCATCCTGATCCTATCTTTCTCTAAGAAAATATTTTTTATTTTTTAATTTTAATTTAATTTTACTTATCTTTTGTTTTAATTAAAAAGGTGGTATTTGTTCACTTTGATGAAATTGGAAAATAAAAATTAATAATCACAATGAATAACCACTGCTAATATTCTAATATGTTTACTTTGTTTTAAAAAATGAGTGGAAACATAAGCATGCACACACACAGCCCAAGACATATACACAGTGTGTATAATAACGTGTACTGAGCAATGTTCTGTTAAGCATTTTATATTCATTTGATCTTCACAGAAACCATGTGAAATTATTATTATTATTATTTTGTCAGGCATCCATCTCCCCCACCCTCCATCAACCACCCCATAATTTCACCTTGGTACTAGTCCTGGTGGAACAGATAGTCTGGGACGTGCTCTGTTTATGGCAAAGGGCTGAACACATATCCTATACCAGGCCAATAGGATGCCCTCTCTGGAAACTGAATCTTGAATAGAATGACTCAGAAAAACTTAGCAGCCACTTGATCATATTCATCATATCAGGTCTCCGTAACACTAAAGTTTGTGCTTAATTCTAACCAGCTCTCTTTTCAATCTCCTTCTGTACAGACACAGAGGTGTGTGTATGTGTGTGTGTGTGTGTATTCTTATATGTATTCTTCCACATTAAGATCTGGCCATATTAAAAATTTTAATCATTTTCAGCCTTCAGTTTTTTTGTCTGATAATAAAATCGCTGAAGAAAAATTTTAAATTACTGTAAAGTACAAAGAAGGTAAAACTTACCCATTATTTCAATACCCTGATATCATCAAAATTACTATTAACATTTTGGTTTGTTTAGTCTCTCTTCTCGTTCTCTCTCTCTCTCAGTGGGTATATATATACACTCACATGCATACAAAATAGGGATCCATACATAAATTTCCATATATAGTATATATATATATAAAACAGCGAGAGTGGGAGAGAGCCATACTGTATATACAGATTTGTATCATCAATTTTTCCTTTTGATATTATTCTTTAAGCCTTTTCCTGAGCAATTAAACTTCTTTCAAAATATTTTAATAGCTACAATATATTTCATTGTATGGATATACCATAATGTATTTAATCACTCTTCTTTCAGACATTTAATGGCTGTTTCTTTTTCTACTTTGATAACTAGCACTGCAATCAACAATTTTGTTGGCATCTGATTATTTTCTTAGAATAGATTCTGGAAGTGAAACTATTGGTTTAAAGGATTTGAGCATTTTAAAGATTCTTGATATAGACTGTCAAAAATTTTTCAAAAGATTATTCCAATTTACAACCCCACAACTAGTGTTTAAAAATCAGTTTTATTCAGTGCTCCAAATATAGATGCCAACTTTTAGAAATGAATGTCAACAGTTGGAAAATGATAGACTATATTGTATTAGGCTTTTTTTCAATATATATATTTTTCTAATTATAAAGTAATACAAACTAATTGCAGGTTGAAAAATATAGATTACAGAAAATAATCCCTTTATCCATAAATAAAAATGACAGTTTGATGAACATTCCTTTGTCTTCTTGCTGTGCACATATTAAATAAATATAATGTTGAGATCATATGGCTCATACTTTTATATATGAATTTTTAATTTAATGTTATATATCATTATGAATTTATATTATTCTCCAAAGCATTGTTTTTATTAGTTGCCAAATAATCTATCTTGTAAACTGGCTATAATGTAGTTAACCTTTCTTGCTTATTGTATGTGGATTGATCAGCATAAATAGAATTGCAGTACATAACATTTTGCATAACCTGACTACATTTTTGATAATTTCAATAGAATTTATGACCAGAAGTGGAATTATAGAATCATGGGTTTAAATAGCATGGCTATTTTAAAGTTTCTTGACAAACATTGACAGAAAATTAGAAAAGGTGGCTCAGTTGTTAAGCGTCTGCCTTCGGCTCAGGTCATGATCCCAGGGTCCTGGGATCGAGCCCCGTATGGGGCTCCCTGCTCAGCGGGAAGCCTGCTTCTCCCTCTCCCACTCCTCCTGCTTGTGTTCCCTCTCTCGCTGTGTCTCTCTCTGTCAAATAAATAAATAAAATCTTAAAAAAAAATAGAAAAATTATTCTAAAATGTTTGTTCCAGCTTTGTATGAAAGTGCACTTCACTCTTCTCAACATTATTTTTTTCATTGTTTTATTTCAATGATTTATGTTTTGCATTTTTCTAACCTTTTCATATTTCCTTGAATTATTTGTATTTCTTCTTTGAATTCACTGATCATGTCCTTCACATATTTTCCCATTAGACCTAGTATCATGAAGACAACAGAGCATCCTTCTCTGAGGATCTGTTCTCTGCTTCTACAGAGCTCAGAAGAATAACTCAGTTGCCCCCCAGTTACTTTTCTTAAATATTCCTGGTAATTCACCTGTGGCTCTTAGTGATAAGCATATATGATTGTAGTAACTCATATTTGTAAAGGACTATCCAATTCATAAAACTCTTCCACATCCATTATCGGTTTTGCCCCTGTGAACGAGACCGGGCAGGTTAGTGTCATATGCTAGCATCACTGTAGAAATGTGGACGTTGGATTCCACAGGAGAAAGCTGTTAACAGCCAGTGGGGAGTAAAGTCAAGACTCAGACCAGGTCTTCAATTCCTAGATCTTCTCCTCTTCATTAAGTCACTTTACTGATGTTGCTAGTGTCCAGAAATATAAAACGACTCCACATGGGGTAAGAAAGTTCTGGAATAATGTTAAGAGACTTGATAGCAAAGGCAAGGACTCTATTCTTAGAATGAGACTGATTTACATTTGAGAGCTTTTAATTGCAGTCATCTATCAGTTTTTAACTTTCAATGTCTAAATATAAAGACGCGGCAGTATAAACGAGCCAGCTGCATTTTTACACAGCGCATGGACTGATGAGTTTATGAATGAGTGAAGTGATGGAAATCAACAGCAAGAGTAAGAATATCCCAACCCAGTTCAACAGCCTAAGCCATACATCAGTACCTTGGAGAGCTTCCAACTTTAAGTCAGCCCCTCCCTCACATTCTCAAAAAAGACGGGTTTTCAACCTCCAAAGGAAAATCGGAAGCATTTTACACTGATATCTTCCATGTTTTTTGAAAACTTCAAGGTGATTTCATTTTCCATTTTCCTACCTGAAAATGGTCTTCCCTTTTGCCCCATTTCAAATAAAATTGCCCGTGGCTTGTGATCTTGTGAGAGCTTATTTAATTTAAGCAGCTTTATGGTATTTCCCCCCCTTAGCAAACACATTTCTTTGCCATGCCTGCAAATTAAAATGTCCTTTGCCATTGAGCGCCCAGGAAAAAAATCAGCTCTCCCTATCGCGAGAGTTTTTTATTCTTGGGTAGGATCTGTTTCTGAAGACATGATGGCAGCAGAGCGTGGGTCTCCACAGGTGTAGCCAGGCGCTGCCCTACCTCGAGAAAGAAGGCGCGAAGATGTCTGAGCCCGCCCTACTTACGCTTGGAGCCCCGCTGCCTCTTCTGCCCTTGGGGCTGCGCGAGCTTCAGCCTCTACAATGCCCCGCCGCGCACGCGCGCTCCCCGCCCCCGTCCTCACCGCACCTGCCAGGTCACAAACCCCTTCCCACCCTCTCGCGCTCCCTCCCGGAGGCTGTCTTGTCTCACACTGATTGGTCGGAGCCCAGAGGGTGCGTCCAATCAGCAATCCCTCCTGCGCAACCTATCCCCGCTCTTCCCGCCCCCTGCCGCCCCTGCCGCCCCTCTCGGGCACCTACTTTCTTTGTGACTGGTGCGCGCTCTGGTCACTCAGTGCGGCGGGGAGAGGTGTGCGGGAGTGGGCGGGAGGTGGGGGGAAGAGAGGGAGGGGCGGGAGGGGGCGGGGCGGGGGGCGGGGCTCAGGTGCTGAGCCGCGCGGTCGGGCCAGACCGAGGAGGGGGCTAACTGCGGAGGGGGGCGGAGCAGGGGCGGGGGCGGGGGCGAGGAGGGGGTTACGCCGGCGACGTCGGCAGCGCGAGGCTTCGCGCGTGAGCCGCGCGGGCTGGGCCTGGCTACGGAGCTTTCCCCGCCGGCGAGTAGGTCGTCGTCGACGCCGGCTCCTGGCGGAGCGCGGGGAGGAGGGAGGTGTCCCTGTCAGCGGCGTAGTCGACGGCGGCCCCGGCCATGGAAGAGACGCAGCCGCTTCCGCAGTCCGAGCTGCCGCTGTGCGACAGCCTTATCATCTGGGTGAGTACGAGAGGGCGAGGGGGGCCGAGGGGCGGAGGCGAGGTGCCCGGGGCCCCCAGTTCTCCGCAGGTGAGCCTGAGGAGTAAGCTGGGCCACCTGCGCCGCGGACCGGGCTCATTGCCCTCCGCGTCTCCTGTCGCCCTTGACCGCGGGAGTGCCACCTGCGGGTCGCGAGGCAGGCGTGTGTGTGTTTGAGTGTGTGTATGTTTGTGTCTGGAGACGAGGGAAGGGTAAAGGGAGCTCTGGAGGTAGGGACGGAGGAGGTTCCTCTTACTCCCCCCGATCATGCTTCTGACAGCTGTGGCTGGAGCCAAGTGTCCGTCCCCTTTACTCCTTGCTGCCCTATTTTCTCCCTCTGGGCCACCGACTCTCTCGCCTTCTGTCTGCTGAACAGCCTTCTTATACGGATCTTTGTGCCAGTTGGGAGCGAAGGCCCCCTCCGAAACTCCTCTCCCACCCAAACCACTTTGCTCTGCTTGGACACAGGTGACCAAGAGGTGGTTTTGGTTCCTGGATCATGAGAGCTTCTCCAGGATCTCAGGACATCCGATTTTGTAGAAGTCATTTAGAAGGGATATTTCCACGTATTTCCTGTGTGCAGAAGAAGACATGTTGGGGGGTGGGGGGCTTGTATTCCCCTTTTCTTGCGGGCCCCCCCTTCGCCCTCCAGTGGACAGCATATTCTTTAAAGAAAAAACCTAAACACGCACAAAGTGCAAACGAAATAACACTTGGCATTTCGTTTGCACTTTGTGCGTGTTTAGGTTTTTGTTTTTGTTTTTAAAGTAGGCTCTGCGCCCAGCAGGGCCTGAACTCAGGAACCTGAGATGAAGACCCTGACGCTTAACCCACTGAGCCACCCAGGTGCCCCTGTGCGTGTTTAGTATTTCTAATTAATTTGTGTTAGGTTTGGACAGGCAGAATCTGTCCCCACTATTCCCCTCAGTAAAATGACGTCTCACCTTTTGGAGATGCTCAGCCATCAGAGAGCTGGCATTCAGGTGTAGTTTCTAGTCCTTATTGGGCAAGTTTGATGCTTAATGGTCTGTCCACAAGGTGCTGTTGATGGTGCCCATCCCCAAGCTAGTTGTTTAGTTGTGTGTAGAGGGGTGTGTGCATAATGGAATGTATACAGACTGGATCAGGAGGTGATAATTGGTTGGTGAGATTCCCTAGCAATCTCCTAATTTGAGTAGTTCAAAAAAATGAGAGAAATCAGAGAAGGTTTCTGGCCACCTATGAAGTCTACTGGAAATAACCATAATTTAAAGCAGCATTTACAGTGTAGAGGTAAATAGCTTTTGTTGTAAGTGGAATGCAAGTATATAGGGTTTCTGAGTTAAAAGCAATTAGCTAACTGTTCATCTGTATTTTCATTTAAAATAAGTATTGGGGGGCGCCTGGGTGGCTCAGTCGTTAAGCGTCTGCCTTCTGCTCAGGTCATGATCCCAGGGTCCTGGGATCGAGCCCCCGCATCGGGCTCCCTGCTCCGCGGAAAGCCTGCTTCTCCCTCTCCCATTCCCCCTGTTTGTGTTCCCTCTCTCGCTGTGTCTCTCTCTGTCAAATAAATAAATAAAATCTTTAAAATAAATAAATAAATAAAATAAAATAAGGATTGGGATTTAGATGCTGTATTTTAAGACTGTCATGAAATAAGGCAACATTACTTTTAATGATGTGTTTTGTTAAAACAAGCGGCTAATTAAAGGGTGTATCCTAATCTGTTACTTTATTGCTCCAAACATCTGACGTAAGTAGTAAACTTAGTCTTTATGATGTCATTGACTTATATGAGGTAGTGGTGAAGTATAGGATTTTCTTGAATTGTATTGCAGTATTTTAAAATGTTATGTGACTATATCCATTCTTTGAACCAGTCTTTATTGAGTTCCTACTTTGTTCAAGGCACTGAGAAAGACAGATATTGAGAATAATCAAAGAACTTTACATTTTTTGCTGGAGTGGTAGACAGAGCTGTGCATTTTTACAATGCGAGGCAATATTCCTTAAAAACTGCAAAAATGGTATAGATGACAGGAAGTAATAGGTTATTTGCGTCTCCAGTTCTAAGGCTGCTGAAACACTACAGAGATAGTGGAATTATTGTGCAGATTGTTGCCTCTACACATGCTGCTACAGCCAAGTCTACCTGTTCCCATAACAATGCCCAGCCATATAAAGACTAAGAACAACCACACAGTTCCCCTCATGTTTCTCTTTGCAAACTTTTATCAGTCCCTGTTTGAGCCCCTAGCTTTTCTCCCCTCAGGAGAATGACCTCCTTATCTTTGGCTCTAGTTCTAGATCCCATCCGTTCTACCTCGTCTAAAACTTTGCTCTATCATTTGTCCTCTTTCTGTATTTACAACTTCTTCCTCTCCTTTGGCTCCTTCCTCTCAACATATTATTCGAAACTTATTCAAATCTTCCCTATCTTAAAGAGAAAGAACGAAGAGCCATCACTCTCTATTAGAACCACACAGTATTTCCCCTTCCCTATGCAGTCAAATTATTTGAGTTTTTTAATACTCATCCTTTATATTTCTTGAACTTTCATTCCCTCTTCAACCCACTGCACTTGAGTTTCTTTTCTCTAAGGCCTTCACCTCCTGGATTTGGCAAACTATTATATATTATCCTTATCTTACTTGATGTTTCCTTTGTGAAATGATTTTCTGCCTTGGTTTCTAGGGTACCTATCTGTTGGCCTCTCTTTACCTCTCCAGATGATTCCCAGTGAACATTGGTATCTTATTTTGCCTTTGCCAGCCACTGCATTGTTGATGTCACTACACTTCCCCAAGTTTCCCCAGACTCTCCTGATGCCACACTCCCCATGCCTACTGTGCTGCACTGATTTTCTATTTCTTGAGGAAGTTAAGCTGTTTTTAATACATCAGGTCTTTCTTAACTTTTCTGTCCTCTGCCTAGAATAGTCTCTTTCTAGTTCTTCTAGTGGCTGGCTTCTTTTCACCATTCAGTTCTTCAGATCTGTTGTCATCTTTCAGAATCAGTAACAGTGAATGACCTACCTGCCCCCTGCCCCCCACTCCTATCCTTTGTAACCTGTTACCCACTTCCTTTGTGTCTATAACATGTAACACTTTCTGAAGTCATCCTATTTGTTCCTTGGGGTCAGAGCCCTTGTATGACCAGTTTTCTGCTCTGTCCCCAGGAACAAGAAACTGACTGGAATCTCCAGTACAACATTGAATCAAAGTGGTGATAGTCAATATCCTTGTCTTAGTCCTGACCTCAGAGACCAGTATTTCACCATTAAGTAGGTTCTTTTAGATACCAGGGATGAACTTCTAACTATTATAGAGGATTGATGGATTTCAACAAGTAGAAATCAGGGGAAATGAATTTCTAAACACAGGGAAGAACCCCTGGCGGTAATGTAAATGGTCTCCTTTGGCAGTAGATCAAAAAGAGGTAGTGGAATACACATCTTGTCATGATATCTCTCATCTCTTAATGTGCTTCCTGCCATATTGAGTAATGTTACATGTTGAGGGGAAGTAGTAGGAGATATAAGATTAAAAAGTTATGATGGGGTTAAATCATGGAGGTGAGAAGACGGTAGTAGACTGTGTTCTTTCAGCATGAGACAGTATTCTGGGACAGTAGAAGCAACACTAACAGAATTTGAGAAGTCATAAAGAAAAGCTGGCTAGTAAAGAGATGCCTTTTTTGGCAGTTATTAAGTTATATTTTATAATATGGAACTTATCTTAAAATAGTTCTTAGAAATGTTATACTGCTACTTAGCAAAAAAACTCAGGGCTGGAGGATAAATTTGGGCACCATTTACAAGGTAGAGGGAGTATTTAAGAGTTTTAAGTATTCATATGAAGATAAATTTAATTCTGCCTCTTAGTTCTGTGACATTTGGAAATTTAAAATTTTTGGACTTCGATTTCACCAATAAAATCAGAGTTGAACCATATTTGTTTTAATGGCTTTCTTAGTTCTTGTGTTTTTTGACTTTGACAGGCAGGTGAAGGAAAAACTCATGCCAAATATATGCCCAAATTAACAAAAAATATTAAAGGCTGAATCATTTTTATGAAAACCATGAAACTCAGAACAATAATCTTCTTTCTGAAAAGAGCATTTGGAGGAGGAGAATATGAGAATAGAGCTGACCCAAAGTTGAGTTTTCATTGGCTGTTAGTTATGAAAATCCTTGTTTTTTTCTTGATTTTGGTGACATTTACATTGAAGCAATTCAGGAACAACATTTCCACAGTTCTGATTATTTGCTTTGTTTAAAGATAAAGAAGAAACTAAGATGGTTATTTGCCAGAACACTGTGGTTACTGATAGAAGCCCGGTCTGTCCCTTTTGGGCCACTCACTAAAAGACTTTAGCTTTTCTTCAGCTCTCTGAAGAATACTATGAGAGGAGACATTTTTCCTTCATCCCTCTGTTTTGGCCTCCTTACCCATACCGAGCTTTTTTAATTTATTCACTCTTCTTGGTTATAAAGCCTTTCTATTTGGCCAAATGAATTTATATTCTATGTTATCTAATTTATTTTGCAACTAGTTAAAGAACTTTCAGGAGACTCCGATTTCCATGTCTTAGGAAGGAAAAATTGATCTTAATCTAGACATGGTGGGCAACAAGGCAACTACTACTACTTTTACATATTTCTTTACTATTTTGCTTGATATTCTGTGCTTCCGAAATCATCCTTTTTAGATAACTAATCATATCCATTTTGTAAAAAGTTAATGAAGCAAAGTGTCAGTAGGAAGGGTTGAAAAGTGGGAGCCACATTTTACCTGAAAGTATATGATTGTCTTCTTTTTAAAGATGCCCTGGGGTTTTTCTTCCCTGTACATCCACTTAATTGCAAAATCCTTATTATTTTATATTTTAAATTCCATCAATTCATTCTGTCTTCTTAGTTAGCATTACCTTAATTAGCTCTAAGCCATCCATTTTATCAACAAGACCATTGCAGGAACCTTCTAACCGACTCAGGTGTAAAATACTCTCTTCCTTTCTCTGTCACTATTGCTGCTATTCAAAATATGCTAAAGGTGTCACTCTCTTCCTTACTACTCTTCAGGGATTCATTATCACCCAGAGCGATGGTTCTAAAAAACTGATGTGCATAACAATCTCTTAGGGATTTTCTGGTTTAATATGTCTAGAGATTCTGATACTTATTGTTCTTCAACCCCAAACTTTGAGAAACCCTGAATCACAGTTAATTGCTAACAGCTGTTGAGCTTGTACCATGTGCCAGGTGCTGATCTAAATTTGCTGTTTGCTGATTCATTTAATTCTCACAACCATCTTTTGAGGTAGAAACTATTCTACTGTTTCCTATTATAAGGATGATACCATCAAGGGTAAGTCCAGGCTTGTCATGGCCCTCCAGAGTCCTGACCCATGTCTGTTTTCTTACCCCCAACCCCCTTGGTTGTCACCACTTCTCTTTCCTCTTTGCACTGGAAATCCAGTAATACTGAACTGTATGCTGCGTAAAAATACCATTTCCTTTCATGTATTTTTGCTCTTATAATGTTTCTATTTCCTGAAGCTTCCTTGTCTTGGCCCTTTCTTTACTCAAGACCTTCTGTTCAGGAATCATCTCTAAGAATTCTTTCCTAAGTACAAGCCCTAATTAAATTAGTTAACTCCCATCTATTTCAGAATAATTTGTGCATAATGTAGTCATGAGACTGGGAATGGCATTTTCTAGAAATAATTTATGTCTTTTTCTACTCTCCTTAACTCTTGACTGAAACTGCTTGAGGGTAGAAAACTGGTGATTTTCCTTTGTAACCCCATCATATATTACAGTGCCCACATAGAGTAAGGATCTCAGTAAAGTATCTTTGTATGTATACTTTGAAAGTAACTATGTCTAGATTTATTTGTCTGTGTCATCCTTCTATGTTGTATTAGGATAATGGAGATAGATTTGTAGAATCTCAAAATGAACAATCACTAAAAGTGAATCATGGGGAGAGAATTGTATCAGATTACAATACTTAAGTGGTAAACTAAGGAATAATAATTGAATAGTAAAGGAGATGAATATGTATAGGAAAAGAGAATCATAGTGTATTTAATTTAAGATCATTATGGGTTCAGATGAGTTTTCTAGGAAGCATATGAACCATTGTAGCTCTGTTGTAATTTGCTTTTCAAGAATTCTTCTGTCTTATATTTGCTTATTAGAAAAAGATGCCACAGTTCCACTTCTCTCTCTCTCTTTTATTTATTTGCGGGGGAGGGGCAGAAGGAGAGGGAGAGAGAGTTAAGCAGATGCTGCGCTGAGCGTGGAGCCCGATACAGGGCTTGATCTCACAGCCCAGAGATCACGACCTGAACCAAAACAAGAGTCACACACCTAACCGACTGTGCCACCTAGGCACCCCCACTTCTCTTTTTAATAGGTACATGAATGTTTAACAAATAGAGATTTGAAAAGAGTAATATCTAAAGCCGAAGTAGATAGAAACAACTTGATGTGATGGGTGGGCTCTGGACCGTTCATGCCCTGAGACTAATTGTTGGATGGCAGGCTAAGACCCTGCCTTATTTCAGAGCTCACTGGTCAATTAAGTAGTTTTATTTTTTTATTTTTATTTTTTTTTAAAGATTTTATTTAAAATAAAATTTTTTTATTTTAATAAAATAATGGAGTGGGAGAGGAAGAAGCAGGCTTCCCGTGAAGCAGGGAGCCCGATGCAGGGCTGGATCCCAGGATCCTGGGATCACGACCTGAGCCAAAGGCAGACACTTAGCAACTGAGCCACCCAGGCGCCCCAATTAAGTAGTTTTAGACTTGACATTTCTAGCCTTTGTTGTCCTACCACATGATGTGAATGAAGTTTTAATTTGAAATAATAGGTTTTCCTAAAGCTTTTTCTGATGTTATTCTAAAAATGAACACAATGCTGTCTATCTTAAGAGCATTATATGCGGCTTTCAGAAATTCTGAAGTACTTCATACATTACATCAGTGTATTTAACTATTTTAGGTATGATTATTCATGATTTTATGAATTGTTAAGTGTTTACTTTTATAAAAATATTACATAGCCGTAGAAACTTATTAATATAGTTTCATTGGTTTGGCACAGTCTGAATTTAAACAAAACAGGACAATTTTTAGCTTGATGATGTTCGTTCATATATATATATGTGTGTGTGTGTGTATATATATGTATATATGTATGTACGTTTGGGAGGGTTGGTAACACTACCCTGTAAGTATAAAGAGGCAGCAAAGTCATCTGCTCTATGTCATTTTAGCTGCAGACATTCAATACTGATGCACCTTGTCAGGATGTCACACAGCTGACTAATGGAGTTGCCATGGCACAAGTTCTTCATCAAATGTAAGTAGTGGTCTAGACTGATTTTGAAAGAATTGTAAACCCAGTACCAAGGAAGAAAGCTTAGACTCATATTCTAAAAGTCACTGAAACTGTATCCTATGAAGTCCTGACAGCCATATGGTACCAAGGCACTATTGCATCTGGGGAACAAAAAAGTTTACCACTTGATTATTCCTTGCTTATTCACAGAGATAGATCTTAACTAAATGAGCAAACAGGATTCTTATCTATTTAAGAGATTTTAATTTTAAGCTTGTTCTGGTCACATTCACAAGTTAGAGTAACTGGAAAAGAAACAGTTTAAATGACTGGTATAATTGTTTATAATGTTTTTTCCCCCCAGTTATATTACTGTCATTGGAAGGTATCAATGCATGAAGATTATTACTTTAGAGATAACTGAAATATAAATACCAGATTTGGAAAAATAATAAATTTTAAAATCTATATTTGAATTACAAGTAGAACTTCTATAACTCCACTAATAATGAAATGAGGTATAAAACAAATTTGAAGTCACAAATATTGGGGAATCTTAACTAATAATTCTGTTTGGGTTAGACCCATTAGGTATAATTATATAGTAGCAGAAGCTCATAAATCCATTATTTCCCAATTTTTGCCAAACATTGTGCAAGGATTATGATTATAACATCTACAATATGAGCTCTACCCTTAGTAGGAACAAATGGAGCCAATTTATTAATTGATAGTCATATTGATTTTGTATTTGCTTACTTTTATGATAATTCTTCAATGAGACCAGAATCCTACCTCTACCACTTGTTTTATAGCCAGAAATTGTTTATTTAATTATTGCCATCATTTTGTCAAGGTTTGTTGTGATTGACATTGAAAACCCCCTAGATGGATTTGCCAAAATTCCTTCTCACCCTCAGAAAGACAACTTAAAATGTCAAAATTCTAGTTGCTTGGCATCTTCAACATGATGTAATTTGAATAGACAGATTTTATGGTTAACTCAAGATTAACACGTTAAGAGACAAACTTAACATGTTAACATTTTTTTTGGTAGTCTTCTAAAATATGCCTTCCCTCCCCTGTTTTCTTAAAAATGGTTCTTAAACGTTTTTTTATTTATACCCTGTTTAGTTTCAAAGTGATTTCATTGGTCAGAAGCAAGCATTCTTGATATTGATTTGGGAAAAGTCCTCATTGTTTTTTGTCGTTAGAATGTATGCCTTGCCTTTGCTTATTGCCATATGTTGTGGGTATTGGTGTAGATGCAGCTACATTGTGGTTGGTGTGGATTGTAAGGCTGGTATGCGTTCATTAACTTCAACAGTGCCATCCAGAGCTCTTATTTATATGTGTTGTGGTGGCTCTGGTAGCTTTTATGCTATAACACAATGGATGAGACCTGTTTTTACCATGATGTGATACAATGGCTCTTTGACTCCCTATACTTTAACACTGTACCTGATGTTTAGAGTAGGGCCAATTCAAATTTAGCTCAACTCTACCCTTTATCACCAACTCATTTTCCATAATCTGTTGGATTCTGCTGTCACTGCTGATCCTCTGTCTCTCTGATTTTCCTCTTCTTTTTTGTTTTCTTTTTTGTCTCTTACTATCTTCTAATACTTTTCTGCAAGAATAATATAATAGCCCACCGATCAGAAAGCTCTCTTTCTTCATAAAACATAAGACTGACCTAAAATTGGATCGAAACCTCTTTTTTGCTTTGCCTGTTTTTGCATGTACTTAGCTATCTAAGCCTCCTTATCATCTAAGGATTATTTAAAATTTATTTTTCTTTTTGAATCCCTTTCTTGTTTGGTAGCTTTCCAGAGGTCTGGATTTGTTAGTGAAACTTAGAAGCATACATTTTTTCCTAGTTGGATCAGTATATCATATTCCTGCTAAAAGAGCACATTTTACCATATTTCTTTGAACACTTCAAAGCACTTTGTATATGTTACAGTCTATTATGTACTGCATTGATTGCAATTGTGACTCATATCAAATCACATCAAAGTTGTTACTGAAATGAAAAGGGAAATTTTGCTTTCTAAGGAAGTAGTAACATTAAATGAATAATTCTTTTATTATTTACCTGAGGCAAGTATGCTAAAGAATAAGATCATAAAAATCAATGCCTGGGGCACCTGGGTGGTACAGTTGGTTAAGTGTCTGACTCTTGGTTTCAGCTCAGGTCCTGATCTCAGGGTTGTGAGATCCAGCTCCACATTAGGCTCTGCACTCAGCATGGAGTCTGTTTAAGATTCTCTCTCCCTCTCTTTCTGCCACTACTCCCCCCCTCACTGCCCTGTGCTTACTTACTCTCTCTAAAAAATAAATAAATAAATCTTTAAAAAATGAAAATCAATGCCCAAACCATATAAGTTAGACATGGGGAGTCACAGACTTACTGTTAGGGTTCTACAAGTTCCTAATTATTATCTCTGGTCTGAATACGTAATATATATATGTATTTTTAAAATATATGTAGATATTTAAAAAACACATGGGGAAAAATTATAACTAACTGCATTGGTTTCCTAGGGTTTCCATAACAAAGTACCACAGAGTGGATGGCTTAAAACAACAAAAATTTGTTCTCATAATTCTGGAGGCTAGAAATCCTAAATCAAGTTAGAAAGTATTTCTCAGGATATTATAGACTGAATGTTTGTATCCATTCCAAATGTATATGTTGAAGCCCTAACCCCCGTGTAGCTATATTGGAGATGAGGCCTCTGAAAAATAATTAAGGTTAAATAAGGTCATAAGAGTGGGGCCCTGATCTGATAGGATTATGATCCTTAGAGACATTAGAGAGTTCACTTGAGCATACCAAGAAGAGGTCATGTGATCACACAGCGAGATGGCAGCCACCTACAAGCTTAGAGAAGAGACCTGAGAGTGAAACCTATTTTGCCAGCATCTTGATCTTGAACTTCCAGCTTCCAGAACTGTGGGATATAAATTACGGTTGTGTAAGCCACCCAGTTTGTGGTCTTTTGTTATGGAAGTTTGAGCAGACTAAGACACAGGGCTGGAGTTGATTTGGAGTAGAAAGAAAGACAAGGAGGAACACAAGATAAAAGGAGGAAAGCTAGAAGAGGTTATGTTGAGATCCATTTTCTAGAGGTAATTAAAGAATCCTATATCAAGATATCTTTAGGGTCAGTTAGAAGACTGGTTTAGTAGTCAGTGTTCTCCAGAGGAATAGAATCAATAAGACGTGGGCATATACTATTGTATATGTGTACACATACACGGTGGGGAGAGAGGTTTGTTTTTAGGAATTGGCTCATGTGATTGTGGAGGCTGGCAAGTTCAGAATTCACAGGTCAGGCCTGCAGGCCAGAGATTTAGAGAAGAGCTGATGTTGTAACTAGAGTCCATAGACGATCTGTTGGCAGAGTTCACTCTTTCTTGAGAGAGGTTATTCTTTTTCTTCAGCTGATTGGATGAAGTCCACCCATATTATGGAGGGTAATGTGTTTTACTTAAAGTCCACTGATTTGAATGATAATATTATCTAAAAAATACTTTCATAGCCACATCCAAGCATGTTTGAGCAAAAAATGACCTAGCCAAGGTGATACATAAAAGTAACCATCACAACTGGTTTACCTATTTCACTTAATCTGATGTCAAAAGAAAGTGCATTTGCTTTGATACAGTTTGACTCATTTATGGATCAGACTTTTTAGGTAAATACTTTGTTAGAAATATACCATTTATACATCTAGCCAAATTATTTTGGTAATTGTAGCCTTAGCATCTGGGAAAGGTTGAATAAAATTAATGTTAATTTGCTCAGAAGAAAATGGCTACAGATTCCACATAGATGAATTAGAAACGGCTAAGTCTTATTGTAATTTTTTTTAAGAAATTCAAGGTCATTATCATTGTATTGTACAAATAAGCATTTTGATTAACACAGCTATATAGTTTTTTTTAATTTTTAAAAAAACCTGTGGAGACAGTGATCTTGTCTTTAAAATACGATAGTCCTTTCAGTATAATGTCTTAGATTAAAGACATTGCCTTTAATATCTGTTGGGAAGGAAATGTCCAGACTTTTCAAATCTTTTATTATATGTTTCCTTTTTTTGTTTACATAGGGAACAATGTTTATAGTTGTGTGTACAGTGGGGGTCTACAACAAGAAGTGTATATTTTCAAACAATTTTTTAATGATTTAACAATTTTTGTAAATCATTTTCAGGCTTCTGCAGCTGTAGATTCTCACTGTGAATCCCTTGCTTGCTCATGCATAAGTGTATTTGCAATACCAAATATACAGGTTTAGTATTTTTGCCTGTTAGTGATTGTTTCACATGTGTAACGTTTTGGTTGAGATGTTAAATGGTGGACGAGTACTGTGGATGTGAATGTGGGAAGTAATTTTAATCATGTGTAATTGGTCACAAGGCCTAAGTTGCAGTAACTATTGCTGTTTTATTTAACAATGCCTTGTTGCTTTGTATGCATTAACCGTTTGGGTGTAAAGATTGTGTGTCTATCCAACAGGGAGCCACAGTATTTAAATTGACCAACCTAATGTTACAACTACTTTGAGGTGGCCAAATGTAAACTAAAAGCCTTAATTAAAGTGGTGCAATTTTGTATAACTTAGCATCAGTAGTTCAATAAATTTGGATTGCCATGCAAGGGCTTACATTATAATTAAAAAAAAAAAAAAAAAGAAAAGAAAAGAAACAGCTAAGTCATTTTTGGTTACCCCAGTCAGAAGTGGTATCTTCTATATTAGAGCATCTGAGGCAGAATGATTTCTGAAAAGCTAAGCACTGTGTTCTAGTTTCAGCTTTACATTTTTAACTTCAGGCATTGGAAAAGAATCCCTTTGATTTCTTCCCTCACTTTTTTTTTTTTAAAGATTTTATTTATTTGGCAGAGAGAGAGGAGGAGAGAGCACAAATAGGCAGAGCAAGAGGGAGAAGGAGACTCTTCACTGAGCAAGGAGCCCAAAATGGGACTCGATCCCAGGACCCTGGGATCCTGACCTGAGCCTAAGGCAGACACTTAACCGACTGAGCCACCCAGGCGCCCCTCTTCCCTCACTTTTGTTGGCTTATGTGTGAAGTAAAAATTTAGATGAGACTTCGAAGACCTCCGCTAGTACTATTATTCTGTTAGTTTGTAGTGTTTGTTTAACGATTACAGCATTTCTCTCATTCTCCTTTGAGTATAGTTTTTGTGCTCTTTTCTTTCCCACTTTAATAGTTATTTCCCTAAGAGTCATGTAGTAAATTATTCATCTTCATATTAATCTTGCTCAATTCCTTACTCAGAGCAAGCATCCAAATATTTGTTTAGAATATGTATGATCTATTAACACAGTTCACTATAGTCAAATGTTATTCTTTGAAACCTAAAAAACTGATATAGCAATTCTTTGTCTTGGCCTTCCATATTAATATGACTTAACTTTACAAGTTTAAAACTAAATTTGTCCTTGTAGACTTCTCATTACACTCATTCTACTCAATTACAATCAAATAGATTTATTTTGGGCTTTGCCATATACTAGTGTCACTTTGGGAAAATCACTTATCTTCTCTCATCCTCAGTTCCCTGAAGAGTAAGATTGAGGATAATCATAACCAATCCTTTGCCAATTACTATGATATTGAAATGTTGCACTATGGAAAAACAGCAAGCACAGTGCTTGATACAGAGTAGACACATTAAAATGTTAGTTTTCTTCTCCCCCCCCCCCTTTTAGGATTGGGACTTTTACATCTTCCTGCTACCAGAGTATCTAGTATGAGATACTTAGTAAATGTTTATTAAATTGAAGATGTTAATGAATTAAGTAATTTATTATGAGAAATTACAAAAGAAATCCTTAGGAATTACTAAAAATTCAGTGGGTTCATTTAAATAATATTTACTACTCTTATTAAGGGCAAGCTTTAAGATATAAATATTGATATATTGATTTAATTTGATGCTTTCTATGTAACAAAAACATCTTAATGTTTTGCACTTGTATTTTTGTTTCAGTGATGTAGCTTGGTTCAATGAATCTTGGTTAAGCCGAATTAAAGAGGATATTGGTGACAACTGGAGAATAAAGGTATACAAAATAAGTAGTAGAAGCACTTAATCCAAACAGTGATTTTAAAATTAACACTAAACTCAATTAAATCATTTTTAAAAATTAATTTAAGGGTGCATTTTATTGTGTACAGTTTGAGTTATGTATGTTCTTATGTAACTACTGTCATAATTAGATGTGGAACATTTCCATTAACCCAAAACATGCACTTACATGCCTCTTCCCAGTTAATCCCCACTCCTCCCTTGGCCCCATGGATCTGCTTTCTGTCACTGTAGATTTTTAGAGTTCCATATAAATGGAATCAGACATTATATACTCTGTTACTCTTTGTGTCTGGCATTTTTCACTCGCTGTGATGTTTTTGAGACTCATCCATGTTGTCTGTATTAGTTCTTTCTTTCTTTTTTTTCCCTGAGTAGTATTTCATTACATTGATACACCACAATTTGCTTACCCATTCACTTGTTAATGGCTATTGGAATTGTTTCTGTGTTTACCTACTTTGGGTACAATTGCAATGACATATATCTAATTTTTCTTGGGTAAATTCCTGAATGTAATTGTATCCCATTGTGTAGGTATATATTTAACCTTCTAAGAAACTACCAGACTGATTTTCCATTTCTTCTTAGGTCAGTTTTGTTGTGTCTTGTAGGGCATTTGTGTGTTTCATTTAGGTTATCCAATTTGTTGGCATACAGTTGTTCTTAACTGTTCTTAACTGGGTTTCATTTAGGTTATCCAATTTGTTGACATATAGTTGTTCTTAACTGTTTTGCTAAAAATACGTTGATGACTCTGATCTTTAGTGATGTATCCTTTTTCTCTACTGATGTTGGCAATTTGTGTCTTTTCTTTTTTTCTTGATAAGTTTGGCTTGACATTTTTCAAGTTTATTGGTTTCTTTTTAAGAACTAGCTTTTGTTTTCTATTTTATAGATTTCTTCCCTATTATTTCCTTTCCTCTACTTACATATTCTCTTCTTTTTCTTGTGTCTTAAAGTGGAAAATTAAATCATAAGTTTTAGGTCTTTTATTTTCCTAATATTAAACATTGCCTTACACATCCCACACATTTTGACATGCTGTGTTCCTATTTTCATTCAGTTCAAAATATTCATTCATTTCCCATGTGGTTTCCTTTGACCCACAGGTAGATTAGAAATAGTTATTTCAAATTGTAAATATTTGAGGATTTTTTAGGTACTTTTCTTGTATTTATTGATTTCTAATTTAATTCCATTTTTGTTTGAGAACATAACTCTGTATTAAGAAATTCTTTTACATTTATTGAGACTTATTTTACAACCTAACATATGGTTTGTCTTGGTGAATGTTCTGTGTGCACCTGAAAACAACATGTATTCTGCAGATGGATTATGTCAAATGTATTGATAGTACTGTTGCATCTTTTATATCTTTATTGATTTTCTGTCTGATTATTCTATCAGTTATGGAAGAGGAGTCCTTAAATCTCTAACAGTGATTGTGGATTTGTTGATTTCTCTCAGTTCTAGTTAACTTTTAAATCATGTAATTTGAATTCTGTTATTAAGTTTATATACATCAATTTTTAAATGTCTTCTTGATGAATGAATCTGTTTATTATTATGAAAGGCCTTTTGTTATCCCTGGAAATCTTTGTTCTGCAGTCTAATTTGTCTGATATTAAAGTAACCACTCCAGTTTTATGATTATTTTTTGCTTTAGTGTATCTTTTTTTTTATTCTTTTAATCTGTCTTTATATTAGGTCTTTCATGTAGACACCTAACAGTTGAGTCTTCCTTTTTTTAATCTAGAGACCATTTCTTTATTTTGTGCTTTAAGAAAACACTTCTATTCTTATATTCCTGTTTTCAGTTAAATCTGTGAACAAATTGAAGCTAGCAGTTTTAACATTATTGTCTTCTTATTCTTTCATCTCTCATTTCTTGGCCCATTTCTATTGACTGAATTTTCTCCTTATTATGATCCACATTTTCCCGCTTCTTCACATATGTAGTAGTTTTTTATTGGATGCTAGACAGTATGAATTTCATTGTTGAGTGACGGATTTTTTGTTTTCCTTTAAAGAGTGTTGGACTTTGTTCTTGCAGGCAGTTAAGATACTTGTGAATCGGTTTGATCCTTTCGAAGCTTTGGAGGTTAGGAGATCTAGAATTATTTTTCCTCTAGGGCTAGGTTAGACCCTTTACTAAGGTGTGACCAGGGTCTTTAGTGAGTGCTTGTTGATGCAGATAGTCTCTTCACTGTGACTGGTGGGAATTTGAACAATTTCTGGCCCTGTGTAAGCTCTGGGAATTGTTCAGCTTAAAATTCCTTGGATTGTTTTTTCCTTGGAAGTTATTCTTTTTTTTTTTTTTTTAAAGATTTTATTTATTTATTTGACAGAGAGAGAGAGATCCAGCCAGAGAGGGAACAGAAGCAGGGGGAGTGGGAGAGGGAGAAGCAGGCTTCCCACGGAGCAGGGAGCCCGATGCAGGGCTTGATCCTGGGACGCTGGGATCATGACCTGAGCCGAAGGCAGGCGCTTAACGGCTGAGCCACCCAGGCGCCCCAGAAGTTATTCTTGACTGGGGAAAAAAATAAAAAAAAAAGTGAAATTATTTTTGTTTAATTTCAGTTTCACCCATGCACATGCAAATTGGTATTCAGCTGAAAGTGACAAACACTGTGCAAATTTGTGAAACATCTTCTCGCTGTAGGGCTCACCTCTTTGTCTGCCCTGCAAATTCTAACTCCCTTGACCTTCCTGAACTTCTGATGTCTTATCTCCTTAACTCAGTGAGAACATCAGGCTTTGTTTAGTTTCTACCATTTTATTTCATGGAATGAAAATTGCCTCCAGAGAGAAATCTTGGACTAGAGTTGGGCTCATCTTGTTTTGTTTTCCTCCTCCATATTGTCCAGTGGCTAAAGCTTGGAAAACGTCGTTCCTTGTATTTTGTCCTGTTGTCTATTGTTTGTGGCAAGAGAATAAATAGAAACCCTAATACTCACTTGTGACTGGAGGTTGACATGCTCATAGTTAAATCTTTAAAGTTGGTACTTCATTGCAGCTCACTTTAAATAGAACCACTCAGGGCACCTGGGTGGCTCAGTTGTTAAGCGTCTGCTTTGGCTCAGGTCATGATCCCAGAGTCCTGGGATCGAGCCCTGCATCGGGCTCCCTGCTCTGCAGGAAGCCTGCTTCTCCCTCTCCTACTCTCCCTGCTTGTGTTCCCTCTCTTGCTGTCAAATAAATAAAATCTTTTAAAAATAAATAAATAAATAGGTAGATAGATAGAACCACTCTGGTTAATCTATGAAAGCATAAAGATACTTTTAATCAAATTCTGATTAAAGCTTTCATGTTTAAAAAATATCATATACCTGTATTTATAAAACTCGAATGTATGTTTTTTTGTTGTCATTTTTATGAGGCCAGAGTTTTTATTGTCTTTCACCTTGGCATAAATTTTCTTTCATTGCTAATTTGAAATAATTTATTGAACTCTTATTCTTTTTTTCCCCATTAGGCTAGTAATTTAAAGAAGGTACTTCAAGGAATTATGAGTTATTACAGTGAGGTATGAAAAACATCTGACATTGTTTAAATACAAAATCCTATATGATATTTATATTGACACCAAAAAATAACCTGGATTTTTGTTTATAACATCTTACTAAAATGTAATTCATAATTAGAATGTATTTTTTTTTTTTGCCATTTTCAGAACACTCAAATTTTGTGAACATGAACAGGCTTAAATGTAATATATTGATTTGTAAAATAATGTTGCTTCTATACTGATACTCTTGAAATTTGTTATTTTCTCCAAGAGAATTACTGTCATCTCTAAATGATTTGATTTTATGCTATGCTGTAAAGTAGACTTTATAATTAAATTGAAGTATTTCCTATGTAAAGTATTATTTTGACCTTCTCAGTGCAAACAGCAACAAAGGTATACTGTGAAATTATGCTTTTGTGCAAGTAAATTGGGGAAAAAAGCAAAGTGAAAGTAGTATTAAAGTCACTTTAGGTAGTACATTATTCAAGTAGGTTTTTTTTTTTCTTAGTATCATAACAAGTTCTCTAGTGGGATTATTTGATCTAAGAAAGCTTATTGCTTATGTTTAAAAAACTTTGGGTTTGGTTTTGCCATTAAAAGACTTGGTTTCTATTTTTTAAAGTTGTCACATATTTATACTTGTAATTTTTTCCAGTAATTTTAAGATTGAAATTTTTCAACCTGTTAATGCCTCAAACTCATTTTTAGAGCTTTTTAATGCCAAGAAAACTTTTTAATGAGCCAAAAAAAATAAAGATAAGGCCAGGAAAGATTAATCCATTAGATTTGTTAGATTTGCTGTTCATGTGCAAGTGTCATGGTTTATACTGTGGTTTACTATTAATCAGTCATGCATCAAAATATGCTTATCTTTCAGCTTAACATAAATCTGTTTATTTTTGGAAAGGCATAAGTTTTTGTCATAAAAGATCAGTCTAGGGGTTTCTTAATCCCTCAGACAGTGGGATCAAAGTTATTTGATGTAAAACCATTTTAGTTGCTATTGGTTGGTTACTCAAAATTTTGGGATGTTGCTTCAACTTTGCTAACTGGTTTCAGTCAATAATTACGGATTTATCACTTTGTTAATTTATCTGAGTCATTTCACAATCCTATTTATAGTTTGTTTTCCTTGTAATGTAATGTAATAAATTCTTTGTAGTCTACAGAAATGAGTGATCTAATTTATTGTCTTAATACTGCAGTTTTTGGGGCAGCAGATTTCTGAAGAACTTATCCCTGATTTAAACCAAATAATTGAATGTTCAGATTCTGTGGAGCTTGGAAGATTGCTCCAGCTTATTTTAGGCTGTGCAGTCAACTGTGAAAAGAAGCAAGGTAAGTGAATTTCAATCAGTTCAAAGTTAATTTGGGGAAGTTTACTTTCTAGAAACAACCTACATTGTTATAGAAAGTAGCATAAAAATGTACTACTACATCTTGTCACAGAGCACCTGGAAATGTAACCCAGGAGGTCTTAAGTCTAGCCCAGTTCTGCCATTAAAAAGCTACAAATCTTAAGTATCCTATTTGTACCTGGATTCTGAGATTTATAGTCAGTGACTAAATTAAATGTATTTTAGTTTAATTAATTTAATTTGTATGTTCAGTGCTTAGGACTTAGTGGATATTCAGTAAAAATTGTACTTATTCATCTGATACATTTTCTGTTTCATATGTAAGATAGAAGTTTAGATTGATTAAGATTTTTATAAATATGCAGATACTAAATTATAATCCAAGCCTCTTGAAGTGATATTCTGCTCTTTTCAGAAGAATGCCTGTCTAGTGTATCCTCCAGTTAAGCAGTCTGATGACATAAATGGAATTGGTATATTATATTGGTATATACAAACACTGTGATCCATATCCTAATGAGTACAAAAGATCATTTTTGGATGCATGTAGTGAATGAAATGATGAACTGAACAGGCCAAGATTTATTTCCCTCAGGGCTTGCATCAGTCTGGGTAGTGAGATTTTTGATGCTGATGTTTTTTGTATGATTCATCCAAACTTGGTCTTAGTACATCACCTTTATAAGAATATGTTGGGTACTTAAGTTTGTATAGTACTTTAAACCAGGATCTTAGAAGATAAATTCAGTCTTATCTATCTAATGAAGTAAAAATATGAAACAGGTTAAATTCAATAAGAACAAATTTAGGAAGGAGGAAAATAAAATATATGAAATTAATTGCTTATTAATAAAAAAGAACAAGTATTGGGTATCAGAAAACTTTGGTATTAGTCCATCTCTATCATCAACTAGCTATTTTTTTTCTAGGGCAAGTGAGTGTTTCTCCATAGGCTTTTATTTCTCACTTAGAGAAAATGTCAAAGATCTATATATTGGGTTTTTTTCACAAAATAAGGAGAATTTGCTTATGGAAAACTTCCATAAATGTTTAATTACAAATTGACAAATAGCAATTAATTTATAAATCTAGAATTTTTCTGTTGTTATCCTTCTTATTTTTTATTCGATTAATGCTTCGTTTCTATTTCAGTTACTGGTTATTTATAATTATTTTTTATTTTTATTGAAGTATAATTGACATTCATTAGTTTCAGGCATACAACAAATTGATTTGACAATTCTGTACATTACTCAAAGCTCACCAAGATAAGTTTCGTTACCATCTATCACCATACAATGTTATTGCAATATTATTTACTGTATTCCCTATGCTGTACTTTTCGTCACTGTGACTCATTTATTTTATGAGTGGGAGTTTGTACCTCTTAATCCCTTTTATCTGTTTAACTCATCCTCCCACTCACCCCTTCTCTGACAACCACCAGCTTGTTCTCTGTATTTAAGAGTCCATTTGTTTGTTTTGTTCTGTTTTATTTTGTTTTAGATTTCACATGTTAAGTGAAATCATATGGTATTTGTCTTTATCTGACTTATCTCACTTATCATTATACCTTTTAGGTCCATTCGTGTGTTGAAAATGGCAGATCTCATTCTTTTTTATGGCTGAGTAATATTCCATTGTATATATATGTGTATATATATACACACATACACTACATCTTCTCCATTCATCTCTTGACAGACATTTGGGTTGCTTTCATATCTTGGCTATTATAAATAATGCTGCACTAACATAGGGGTGCATATATCTTTTTGATTTAGTGTTTTGGTTTTCTTTGGGTAAATACCCAGTAGTGGAATTACCGGATCATATGGTATTTCTCTATCTGTGTTTTTGAGAAACCTCCATACTGTCTTCTACAGTGGCCGCACCAATTTATATTCCTATCAACAGCACACAAGTGTTCCTTTTTCTCCACATCCTCGCCAACACTTGTTGTTTCTTGTGTTTTTTATTTTAGCCATTCTGACTGGTGTGAGGTGGTATCTCATTGTGGTTTTGATTGACATTTCCATAATGACTAGGGTTGTTCACCTTTTCATGTATCTGATGGCCATTTGTATTTATTTTCTGGAAAAATGTTCAGGCCCTCTGCTTATTCTTTAGTGAGATTGTTTGTACTTCTGGTGTTGAGGCGTAGTAGTTCTTTATATATTTTGTATATTAACCCCTTATTGGATATATCACTTGCAAATATCTTCTCTTGTTTAATAGGTTGCCTTTTGTTTTGTTGATGGTTTCCTTTGCTATGCAAATGCTTTTATTTCTGTATAGTCCCAGTAGTTTATTTTTGCTTATGTTTCCCTTGGCTGAGGAGACGTATCCATAAATATGTTGCTAAGGCTGATGTCCAAGAGATTACTGCCTATGTTTTCTGTTAGGAATTTTATGGTTTTAGGTCTCACCTTTAGGTCTTTAGTCCATTTTGAGTTTATTTTTGTGTATGGTGTAAGAAAGGGGTCCAGTTTCATTGTTTTGCATGTAGCTGTCCAGTTTTCTCAGCACCATTTATTGAAGAAACTGTCTTTACTCCATTGTATGTTCTTGCCTCCTCTGTCACAGATTAATTGACCATGCAGGTGTGGGTTTATTTCTAGGCTCTATATCCTGTTGCATTGATCTATGTGTCTGTTGTTAAGCCAGTACCAGACTGTTTTGATTACTACATCATTGTATTATATCTTGAAATCTGGGGTTCTGATACCTCCAGCCTTATTCTTTCTCCGGATTGCTTTGGATATTCAGGGTTTCTTTTGGTTCCGTAGAGTTTTAGGATTATTTGTTCTACTTCTGTGAAAAATGCTGTTGGTATTTTGATAGGGATTGCAATGAATCTGTAGATGACTTTTGGTATTATGGACATTTTAACAGTATTAATTATTTCAGTCTGTGAGCGTGGTATATCTTTCTATTTGTGTCATCTTCAATTTCTTTCATCAAATTTCTTAAAGATTTCAGAGTATAGGTCTTTCACTTCCTTGGTTAAATTTATTCCTAGGTATTTTATTTTGGTGTGGTTGCAAGTGGCATTGTTTTCTTATTATCTGTTCCTGCTACTCCATTATTAGTATAGAAACACAACAGATTTCTGTGTATTATTTTTGTATCCTGCAATTTTACTGAATCCATTTATTAGTTCTGATAGTTTTTTGGTGGAGTCATTAGTGTTTTCTATATATAGTAGCATGTCATCTGCAAATAGTAACAGTTTAACTTCTTCCTTACCACTTTGGGTGCCTTTTATTTCCTTTCTTGTCCTCTTGTTGCAGTGAGGACTTCCACTACTATATCGAATAAAAGTAGTGAAAATGGCAATCCTTATCTTGATACTGATCTTGAGGAAAAACTTTCATTTTTTTTTACCATTAAGCATGATGTTACCTGTGAGATTTTTAGATATGTCCTTTATTATGTTGAGATATATTCTCTCTAAATCTACTTTGTTGAGGGTTTTTATCATGAATGAATATTGTACTTGGTCAAATGCTTTTCTGCATCTATTGAGATGATCACATGGTTTTTATCCTTCCTCTTGTTGATATGATGTATCCCATTGATTGATTTGTGAATATTGAACCACCTTGGCGTCCCTGGAATAAATCTCACTTGATCATGGTGAATGATCCTTTTAATGTGTTATTGAATATGGTTTGCTAATATTTTGTTGAGGATTTTTGCATCTGTGATCATCAGAGATATTGACCTGCAATTTTTTTTTTTAGTAGTGTCTCTGTCTGGTTTTGATATCCAAGTCATGCTGGCCTCATAGAATGAATTTGGAAGTTTTCCTGCTTCTGTTTTTTTTGGAATAGTTTGATAAGATTAGGTATTAACTATTCTTTAAATGTTTGGTAGAGGGTGCCTGGGTGGCTAAGTTGGTTAAGCGACTGCCTTCGGCTCAGGTGATGATCCTGGAGTCCCGGGATCGAGTCCCGCATCGGGCTCCCTGCTCGGCAGGGAGTCTGCTTCTCCCTCTGACCCTCCCCCCTCTCATGTGCTCTCTCTCATTTTCCCTCTCTCAAATAAATAAATAAAATCTTTAAAAAAATAAAAAATAAATAAAATAATAATAAATGTTTGGTAGAATTTACCTGTGAAGCCAGCTGGTCCTGGATGTTTGTTTATTGGAAGCTATTTTTTATTACTGATTCAGTTTCATTACTTGTAATAGGTCTGTTTAGATTTTTTTATTTCTTCCTGATTCCATTTTGAAAAATTGTATGTTTTTAGGAATTTATCCATTTCTTACAGGTTGTCCAATTTGTTGGTATATAATTTTTCCCAAAATACTCTCTTATAATCCTTTGTATTTCTGTGGTTGCCAGTTACTATATCTCCTCCTTCATTTCTGATTTTATTTATTTGAGTTGACTCTGTTTTTCTTGATGAAACTAGTTAAAGGCTTATCAGTTTTATGTTTTTAAATAATCAGTTCTTGGTTTCATTGATCTTTTCTATGGTTTTTTAGTCTTTCTCATTTATTTTCACTCTAATCTTTCTTATTTCCTTTCTTCAACTAACTTTGGCCTTTGTTTTATTCTTCCTTTCCTAGTTTCTTTAGGTATATGGTTACGTTGTTTGAGATTTCTCGTTTCTTGAGGTAGGCCTGGTTCACTGTAAAATTCCCTCTTAGAACTGCTTTTGCTGCATCCCAAAGATTTTGGACCGTTGTGTTTGCATTACTGTTATGTCTCTATGTATTTTTTTTTTTAATTTCCTCTGATTTCTTTGTTAACACACTGATAATATAGTAGCATGTTATTTAGCCTCTTTGTATGTGTGTTCTTTTCCAGTTTTTTTTTTTTTTTTGTATTTGATTTCTAGTTTCATATTGTTGTAGTTGGAAAAGATGCTTGATATGATTTCCATCATCTTAAATTTATTGAGGCTTGTTTTGTGTCCTAACATGTGATCTGTCCTGTAGAATGTTCCATGTGCACTTGAAAAGAATGTGTACTCTGCTGTTTTGAATGGAATATTCTGTATATATGTTAGGTTCATCTGATCGAATGTGTCATTCAAAGCTACTATTTCCTTGTTGATTTTCTGTCTGGATGTTCTATCCAATGATGTAAGTGGGTTGTTAAGTCCTCTACTGTTGCTGTATTACTATCAATTTCTCCCTTTATGGCTGTTAATATTTTCTTTATGTATTTAGGTAACTCCTGTGTTGAGTGCATATTTACAGTTGTTACATCCTCTTGTTGGAATGACCCCTTTATTATTATGCAGTGCCCTTCTTTGTGTCTTGCTACAGTCTTTGTTTTAAAGTCTGTTTTGTCTGATACAAGTATTGCTATTCTGGCTTTTTTTTTCTTCTCCTATTTTCATGGAATAATTTTTTCCATCGCTTCACTTTTACTCTATTTGTGTCTGTAGGTCTGAAGTGAGTCTCTTATAGGTTCATACAGGTGTAGCATATAGATGGGTCTTGTTTTTTTATCCCTTACCTCACCCTGTGTCTTTTGATTGGAGCATTTAGTCCATTTGCATTTAAAGTAATTATTGATAAGTATGTACTTATTACCATTTTGTTAATTATTTTCTGGTTGTTTTTGTAGTTCTGCATTCCTTTCTTCTCTTGCTCTCTTCCCTTGTGGTTTGATGGCTTTCCTTAGGGTTATGGTTGGATTCTTTTCTGTTTATTTCTTGTGTATCTATTATAGGCTTTTGATCTTTGGTTGCCACTGAGTTGATACATAACATCCTGTATAGCAATTTGTATTAAGTTGATGGTTGCTCAAGTTCTGAAAGCACTAAATAGACTTCCTTCTCCACGTTTTATGTATATGATGTCATATTTTACATCTTTTTATTTTTTGTATCCTTTGATGGCCCCTCCAGCAACCCTCACATCTTCCCTCTCCCATGTTTGTCAGTTTTAGTAGTCTTTTTCAAAGAACCAACTTTTGCCTTTGACTCTGTTTGTACTATTTAATATCTATTCTTCTCTTTTATCTCATTTCATCTATTTTCTTGTGAATTAATCAATTCTTTCTATTCCAAGTTATAATTGACATTTTAAGCTGTAATTTTCCCCTAAGTTATGATTTATTACCTTCCATGAGTTTTAGTATTATTTTCATTATTTAGTTCCAAGCACTACTTAGCAATTTTGTCCTCAGAATTTTAAAAGGAAATTAAGTTTCCAATACATAAATAAAAATTTAGCAAGTAGTAAATATAAAATAGTTTCATTGTCATTATTAAAAACACCAGTGTTTCTTAATTGGATTTATTTTTGGAGGTATGTGGGCTCTCAACTTGTAGGAGTGAGCAAATAAATGAAAGAAAAACAGAGTAAATTAATTAAAACTTAAAAACAAAACACATAAAAAATGTAAAACAGCTTACACACCTTTATACTTTGCAGGGAGAATTGATTTCAAGATGATTCCAAGGTATAGCAACAGTCTCAGTCTTGAAAGAATGACCTTGTTTGGTCAGTAGTACCCTGTTTATCTTGGTGGGGAAAAAAGATAGTTTTTTTGAAGGTTTCAGCAGACTCAAAACACTCCATTATCCAGAAAATCCAGTTAAAGGAAACCATTACATAGCTTGTGCTTTCTCTGCTTAATTCTTCCCCTTTCCCACCCACTCTCTACTTCTGGTGCATACCAGAATCTATCAGAGTCTTTGTCCAGTTCTTGGCTTTACAAATAAAAGAAAGATTGAGAGAACTTTCAGAAGTTTTCCAGAAGAATCATTAAAACGATAAAAGTATTTGAAAATAGTAAGTTTTTTTTTTTGAAATTTGGAATTTTTTGGATATTGTTTTAGCTGGAGAACATATAGTTGAAGGGGATTACGCAAATATATGAAATATGCAAAGTGAAATATGCAAAAATACGAAACACTTTTTCTTATGGTTCCTCATTTCTTATTGGGACAGAATCAACTTACTGCCTGTGTGTTTGTGGTAAGGCATAAGTATCTGCTTGAGATGAGACTTGATGGATGTTGAGCACACGTTTACAGGAGGCTTTGTAAGTCCCTTCTTTAAAAGCCTTCCTGAAATGAACTAAGTAGGTGATAAAATGTAACTTTCTAGGCTGAAGATTTTAGGAATTCATTTAATATGTATGGATTCATCCTATAATACTGAATATCTAACAACAGGGAGGAAATTGTAATAATTGTTTTAAGATTATAATGTCTTCTCTTTCTCTTCCTTATAAGGAAATTAGAGGTTTTCTTCTTTAGGGAAAAGAAAACATTTAAAAATATAAATATTTTCAATTCTGCTTATCTGGTTTTAGTGGACATATTTCTTGTGGAAAAATACTTGCATAAAGAAGTATGTATGGTAAATGAACTTTTATGCTGTTAATTGAATGGCTAAAGTTCCATGGGTAAAGAGTAGATTTTTATCAGATCCATCTTTTTTTTTGAATCACAGAACATATTCAAAATATAATGACACTAGAAGAGTCTGTTCAACATGTGGTCATGACTGCTATTCAAGAAGTAAGTTTTTATTATATTCACATATATATGAAAATCCTTAACCAAATGACACAAAAATTTTCACATAAATCTTATGGATGTATATTTTTCTATTTGTATAAACTTGCCCTTTGCAGCAGGTTTACTTACCTTAAGCTAGTGTGTCTTCCCTTCTTTTCTTTACCCAAAATATCTTAAAAGGACTTCAAGCTCAATTTTAGTACTTCTGTATTTTAAAAAAGATAATATTGTCAGGTTCCCTTAGATAACTTCACCTAAGCAGGATAAACAACCTCTCACCAGATAAGAATTTTTATTTCTTCTTTTTTCCCTGCCAATTAGAACAGTCTTTCCCAAAATTTTAAAGCATGTGTGGAAATATATCTTATGTTCATTTTCAGAATGTTAGTACTGTGAGCAAATATGGTGATAGGTTTGGGAGCCAGGTAGCCTGGGTTCAAGCCATTCTAGTTGTGTAAAGTCAACTAGAAGAATTCAGAATTCATATGGTACATGTTGATTCTTAACATCAGCCTGAAGGGCTGAGATGATGTGGAATGCAGAGGAGGCCCGGAGATTAGTGAGGGCAAACAGAATTTGGCAGGGGCATGATTTGGAGGGAGACCTCTCACAAGAAGTTCGTTTGTGCGCTCTGAGTTTGCATTGTGGGCTTGAATTTAAAGCATCACAACAATAAATCTGCCTTTCAGATGCAAAAAAGTTACTTTTTATAGCATCCTTTTTTTTTTTTCATATAATTGTAACTCCTACTTTTAAAATGACTTCTCAAATTAGGAATTTTACCATATCACTCATTTAAAGGCTGTATTTTAAAAGTGTTAATTTATTTTATGGAAGAATCTTTTTTTTTTATTCTTATGTTAATCCCCATACATTACATCATTAGTTTTAGATGAAGTGTTCCATGATTCATTGTTTGTGCATAACACCCAGTGCTCCATGCAGAATGTGCCCTCCTCAATACCCACCACCAGGCTAACCCATCCTCCCACCCCCCTCCCCTCTAGAACCCTGTTTGTTTTTCAGAGTCCATCGTCTCTCATGGTTCGTCTACCCCTCCGATTTTTATGGAAGAATCTTTATTAATACTAGTTATCAGTTTTATTTAGTAGTTCATCTTTTAGAACTTGGATTGTAATTATTCAGTATACAGGTAATTTAAATATATCTATGTATTTCAAGTACCCTTTACTTCTGATGTCCTCACTGATGTAATGGTTGAATATTGTGTTATTTAGCTTAAGCCTCTAATAAAATTTTTATTTGAATAATATTCTAAGAATCATCAAATTATGGCAAAGGAAAACTAAATATAAAGCATTTTACTCTCAAGTAAACCTATTTTTACTTCATAACATTTCTTTATTGTACTTAAGTTTACTATTTTAATTTCCTAGTTGATGAGTAAAGAAATATTGAGCTCTCCTACAAATGATGCTGTTGGAGAATTAGAGCAACAGGTGAGTATCTCAGTAATTGGGGAAAATGTTGAAAACAGTCATACAGTTCCTTGGCCAATTAGTATCATAAGGCTTTCATTGGAGAACATACACAAGAATATTTTTTCCATGAAATTTAGGTTGTTTATTCTGTAATATCTCAGCTGAATATTATTATGCATTCCTTCGTGAATGCAAGTAGTGTTGGCCTCCAGAAATTTTTATGCTCATGTTCAAAGAGTTGAGTGACATTGACCTTTTCTTCTGAAACTTATAATACATATGTGGCTCATTCTAGATGGTTACACTGTTAATAGTAGACAATATAAAAAGTCTGCTTATTTCTGATTTATCTAATAAGTTAATATAATTTTTGTCATGTTAAAGAAACCTCCAAGACCCTGTGCTCAGGCTCTTTTCCCTGATTCTATAACATGACTGTTTCATGGGGGGAAAAAGGCACTCTCCTCTGACATGTAACCTGACCTGGGTTGTAGGGGAAAGGGTACAAAGACAGGCAAATGCAATCAGTACTTTTTCTGTTATATTGTTAAACATCTGTTTATCATGAGTGTCACCAGTCATCTCACGAAATATTTCAAATTAAAACGTTTTCTATGAAATTTTTATTTGAATTTAAACGTACTGTGTTTTTTCTAAATTTTTTGTAATTAAATTAAACAACATCCTCTAATACTCTGTTGTTTAAATATTTCATAAGGAGTATTCTATGAAAGGAGAGGAGGTTAGCAAGCACTTTGACAAGGATGGAAGAGGCCCTTGGGCCTGACAGCACACAACATAGTTAAGGCATTGCCACCTACTTCATGGCATCTAACCATTGTTTTATTGTTGTTATTGAATCATTATATTGTACACTTGAAACTAATATGATACTGTATGTTAATGATATTTCAATTTTTAAAAAATACACATTGAACCAAAAAATTTTTTTCATAAAGATTTACATAAAATTTTATTTCTGTGGGACCATCGCCTTAAACATTAATGAGACTGTGTGAATACTATTCACAGAGAAACAACATTGAGACTTATTTTTTAATAGATAAATTTTTTTAAAGTTTTTATTTAAATTCCAGTTAGTTAACATACTGTGTAATATTAGTCTCAGGTGTACAGTATAGTGATTCAGCACTTCCATACATCACCTTGTGCTCATCATGACAAGTGCTCTCCTTAATCCCCATCACCTACTTCACCCTTCCCCCCACCCATTTTCCTTCTGGTAACCATCAGTTTGTTCTCTAGAGTTAACTCAAAGAACAAATAATCCAATTAAAAAGTGGGCAGGAGACCTGAATAGACATTTTTCCAAAGAAGACATACAGATGGCCGGCAGACACATGAGAAGATGCTCAACATCACTGATCATAAGGGAAATGCAAATCAAAACTACAATGAGTGCTTTCTTTACTGCTACATTCATGCAGTTGAGCACTGTTAGAGAAAAGCACAGCTGTTTATTTGAATTGGGGTCATATAAATGCATGATTTCCATCCACAGTTAGGTCCTTCATCATTGTTCTGTACTAATCAACATCTTCTCCCATTACCTAAACAACTATTTCACACAACTATCCATTTGCATAAGGTCACTACCTTAAAATCTTCCCACTCACCCTGAGTAGTCAGTTATTTATTGAGTGTCCACTATGTGCCAGAGATGCTGTGCTAGTGCTTTTCCTATATTGTGTAATTGGCTTGGTAACCCTAGAAAGTTTCAAAGTTTCAAAGACCCAAAGAGAGTAAGCTTATTAATAAATTTTAATAACCATTTTTAATATCTGTGTATATATGCATATACATGTATTTTTCAATTTGTGTCAAAACATGTCTTACTAAGAAACAGGACATTTTGTGTTTCAGCTTAAAAGGGCCTTGGAAGAACTTCAAGAAGCACTAGCAGAAAAAGAAGAACTGAGGCAAAGATGCCAAGAACTAGATATGCAGGTGTGGAAAAGAACCAGTCTGAGAAATATGTCCTCTTTTAAGTTTACAAAGGGTTTTATTGCAAATAATTCACTGGTAAAGTGTTTTGGAGGTTGGGTTTCATTTCATGGAGGGCATATTTAAAGTATTTGTTACAGGCTTGATTTTCAAGCATGAATTTCATAATTATTTTTCTCTTCGAGTTGAAAATTGCTAACTTCTTTGAGAAAATCATTTTAATTGTAGAATTTCAAGTATTTAGATGAGCCTTTAGTTTCTTTCGTAAAAAGAAGAAATTAAAGGGCGCCTGGGTGGCTCAGTTGGTTAAGCGACTGCCTTCGGCTCAGGTCGTGATCCTGGAGTCCCGGGATCGAGTCCCGCATCGGGCTCCCTGCTCGGCAGGGAGTCTGCTTCTCCCTCTGACCCTCCTCCCTCTCATGCTCTCTGTCTCTCATTCTCTCTGTCTCAAATAAATAAATAAAATCTTTAAAAAAAAAAAAAAGAAGAAATTAAAGTATCTACTGCATAGAGTGTAAATATTTAAGTGAGGTCATTTATGGAAGTATTTAGAAGTGCTTGACCTCCCCCCGCACCGCCCATAAATGCGAGTACCAAGTGAGTTTTGCTAACATGCATGTATCTGAACACGTGTATATAATTCTTGAGTTCATATGAGAGACAGTATAACTTGGTAGGAGAGACAGTAGTTAATGGTTAGTGAGGTAGATCGTTAAACCAGTCCACCTGTATTCAGACCGAAGCCGTGTTACTAGCTGGTTGTGTCCTCTCAGGCAAATTAATTTCTTTATAGTTCAGTTTCCTCTTTTGAGAAATGATGTGATAATAGTATATATCTCCAGAGTGATTATGAGGATTAAATGAGTTAATATATGTTAAGCACTTAGAGCAGGAACTGACACACATAAACGCTATGTGTGTTTGCATGTGTTGTTATTGTTATATGAAAATGCAAATACAAAAGTTACGCAGTAAGTCTTGAAAAATTATGCAAAAGAGTAAATGTACCATCATAGTGTGCTATATGTAAATTGCATGTTTTTGTTCAAATAATGAGTTACATAAATAATTTACTCTCTGAAAAGTATGAAGACAAGGAACAAGGGTTGTGGTAGTATTATCCTTGCTTGATGGGATAAATACCTATAATGATAGGGCTGAGTAATATTTCTAACCCTTAAGGGCTTACAGATAGGAAAAGAGAAGTGACTCGGGTCAGGGTGACTCAGCTACTTAAGGCAGTGAAAGCACTGGAATCCTAGTCTTTTAACCTCATCTTTAAAAAATCAGTCCTGTACTTGAACAAAGCTAATGTTTAAGATTTTATTTATTTATTTTAGAGAGAGAGAGAGTAAAAGGTGCACGTGCATGAGTAGGGGGAGGGGCAGAGGGAGCAGGAGAGAATCTCAGACTCCTCGAGGAGGAACGTGGGGCTTGATCTCATGACCCTTATCCCTAGCCCATGCGGTGGGTTGGGGGGGGTGAGATCCACAGAAATCTTGGTGCTTTTTACTGCAGTCTACCCAATTAGGAGGGAAGTCACCCTTTGCTTCTTTCACTGGACTGGGGAGGGGCGACTAAGAGCCTAGGGGGCCTGCCTGACTCCTTTTTTTTTTTTTTTCTTAAAGATTTTATTTATTTATTTGACACAGAGAGAGAGAGAGAGAGCACAAGCAGGGAGAGCGGCAGGCAAGGGAGAGGGAGGAACGGGCTCTCCGCTGAGCAGGGAGTCCGATGCAGGGCTCGATCTCAGGACCCCGGGATCATGACCTGAACCGAAGACAGACACTTAACCGACTGAGCCACTCAGGTGCCCTCAGCCTCACTCCTTCTGTTAGAAAAAAAAGGCTGTAGAGCTACACACTGCATTGGGGGAATGGTCTGATGCCCAAAGGAATTCCTCCCTGGGAATGGGATACACTTCTCACACCCTGATTAAAGGTATTTAAACCTCAGACATGAGAGCATAACCGAGGTGTTACAAAAACACTGCCCATTGCCTCCCCTCACCCCCCTCCTTCCCTAACCCTTCACAAGGCTGTAGAATGGTGTGGAGGGAAAACAGTCCCAACCATAACTTAGAAGGGAAGACATACTGGGTCTTTGGCACAGTGGAGAGGGTGTCCAGGAAGTCTGCAGCTACATTGGAAAATATAGGGTATCTTAACTGCCAGTGAAGCATGATTTAGATGAAAAGAATAAAAGCATGACATCTGTGCAAACATTGCAGGTTAAAGAGCATGTGAAAGACTTTAGCCAAGCTTAGAAAATAGCCTTTGCTTCATGTTGTATAACAATTTCATAGGAACACATCAGTAAAATAGACTAGGTGGTAGGACAACAAAGTGAGGTTTAAAAGAAAATTGTAGATCTATAGAAACAAATCAGTGAATAATTTTTAACACCAGGCTTTATCCTAGGTAAGCTATTGAACTTCAAGAATAAAGGAAAAACAAGTACTTAGTCGTTCAGATAGATAAGGCAGATCACCCGCAAAGACAAAATCAGGCTCCCCTACAACATGAATGCCAGAATATGGAAGTGTGGTATCTCCAGACTGCCTCGGCAGGGAAGCCGCCCTATACCCAGATGGAGAGCTCAGATACAGACTCATGGGCCCTTCTTGGAGAAACTTACTTGTTGACACAGTTCAGCTAGCAAACATGTTTTAATCGAAATAAAGAATGCAAAAGTGGAGATTTTGTGGTGAAAGATCAGGTGAAGCTTGAATCCTTTTAAATAAGAACTATGTTGATTCTGTGCAAATTATGGTTTTAAATATTGGGGCAAGCGAAATTCTGATTCAGGAAATCAGGAGGCAGGCCTGATAATGTGTACTTTAAAAAAAAAAGAAAAATCTCCACGTGACATTTTGATGTGAAGTTTTGAGAAACTCTGATGTAGTCTTCTAGTTCTGTTCCAGTTGGGATTATTATGGGGCCTTCAGGCAAGTTACGACACATTTGCCAGTGGCTTTTACTCTGCCTTTCCTACCACCTGGCCACAGTAGGAAGCAATCCTTCACTTACTGCCGGAGCAGTGGCCGGTCATTCTTGCTCACGGTATGTTAGAGAAAACATACTCCTGCCCACCATTGTACGAGATAAGTTTTTGTCTGAGGCGGTGGTTTTCTGATTTTAATGTGATAAAGGGGGACTCCAGCTATAGAGTTTTATATTTCATTGTTTTTAGATATGCAAATGGTATACAAGAATTAAGTTAAATCTGGGTGATACGAGAAAATGAGTCTTTTTTTTTAGCTTTTAAAATTTTTCTGCCTCTTAACTCAGAAAGGGGGAGAGGGAAAGAGAGAGGGAGAGATAGAGGGAGAGAGAGATGGCAACAAAGGGGAGAAAAACAAAGAAATAGAGAAAAAACCAGAGAGGGATAAAGGCAGGTACATTATGAACCTAAAGAAAATATCACCATGGGAGCTTGCTAAAGGAGATGTCTAGAACCCACTAATGGACATTCTAAGGCATAGATGAGAGGGTGTGGTACAAGGAATTTGCCTGTTTACTACCCCCTCCTTCAGTCTATGGTTAAAGGTAGCTCTGAAGCCACTGTGTAAAACATGGATAGGAACCAGGTTGGTTATACACCAGGTGTTGAAAATTAAATTTACCCTTGCTCCCCTGCCTACTTTAGAGGGTTCTGACCCATTTTGGAAGACTGGGGGTATTGTTTCTCTTCAGTTGATCTTTTTGTGACAGTCTCTTCCCTCCAGCTAGAATGAGATATTCTTTTCTTTGTGTACCACCCCCACCCTGTGGTATGCTTCCATCAAAGCACCTGGAACATTTTCTGTTGCATAATTATTTACATTTCTACCATAAGGATACTGAAGGTTCAAACTCCATTCTTTTGTGTATCTCAGTCATTTAGGATTGCATATGACAGGTAATAGACACCAAACGGCTTGCATGGCAAGGATGGATGCATGCCTTAAATTTAGGAAGAGAAATTTCTTTTTCCTGCAGTCTGCCTGGGGACAGTTTTCCGAGCCTTTGTGTTGCTCATTTGGAGGACAGTGTTTGTAACCTGCCTATACTGTATTTAAAGGCACTCACTTGACTTTGATTTCCTATTACTAGTTCACCATGTCACTATATAGTCCCGTTCACATAACTGGGTTGATTTTATTACATATTTTGAAAAAATAATCGTAAACCTATGTAGTAATATGTTGAAAGCCATAAGAGGTCAATGATTCATGTTTTTCAAACAAATCTTAATAAAATCATATATAAACTTCTGGTCTTATAAAAGGTTACAGCCTAGCTGTAAACTTTTAAAGATATTTTTAAAAGGGAAAGAAAAAGGCGTTGCATATATATGTAAGTAAAATAACAAGGAATCAGGTACTGATATTGATGTGGTTCTAAAATTACATATTTTTATCCATTTTAAAATGTAAACAGTCTTAATGTGCAAATAGATTCAATTCAGCTTTTTGTTATTGATTCATTAACGAAATAATGTGCTTGTCCCTGAAGGCATGATATGTAACTGATAATTTTCTACTATGAACCTAAAATAACTTTGTGCATATATGTGTGTGTATTTTAGCTTACTAGATAACAGCATCCTAATAGTAAATTTATAACTAAAAGGGGAACAAATTAATTTTTTGAAGTTTATCGGTATGTAATTTTAGAGACTTGGAAACATTTTCTTCCCAAAACTAGGACAAGCATAACATTTTTTTTTTTTTTGAAGATTTTATTTATTTATTTGACAGAGAGAGACACAGCGAGAGAGGGAACACAAGCAGGGGGAGTGGGAGAGGGAGAAGCAGGCTCCCGGCTGAGCAGGGAGCCCAATGCGGGGCTCTATCCCAAGACCCTGGGATCATGACCTGAGCCGAAGGCAGACACTTAATGACTGAACCACCCAGGCGCCCCCAAGCATAACATTTTTGAAGATACTCTCCTTATATGAATTAACTGTTTTCTCTGTATTAATACATTAATTAATAAGATATATTAATAAATTAATAAAAATAATCAAATTATTTTGATTTCTTTCGTTTGACTCAAACCTCCTAGACCCAAAATTCAAGATTTGGAAGGAGCCTTAAAAATTATCTAGTCTGACTGACCAAATTAATTTAATGGCTTAGTCACAATTATAATGTGAACTCTGGACTCTAAGCTTTTTTGCTGTTGATGCTTATGTTTGTATATTTGTTTTTCAGGTGACTGCACTTCAAGATGAAAAGAATTCATTAGTTTCTGAGAATGAGATGATGAATGAAAAACTTGACCAGTTGGATGGATCTTTTGATGACCCAAATACAATGGTTGCAAAAAAGTATTTTCATGCACAGTTACAACTAGAACAATTACAGGAAGAAAACTTCAGGTAGCATTTTTAGTAAAAATCCTTCCATAGAGTTCTGTTAAACTAAGAGCTAAAAAATCCTATCAACAACTAATTAGTAAGCATTTTATGGTATGCTGTAGCATCCTGGAGCTTTATAGCATGCTTGGGACACTGATTAAGCTCTGAAAATACCGAATGGTACAAGTGGTTCCGGCCTTCACAGGACTTGCAATCTAATTAGGCAAGTGGGATATGTCTATAAAATCAAAATAGTTCAAAATAACTTGTGATAAGGGCCAAATGAAGGCCATGTGTAAGTCCAATAGGAGTTTAAGGGAGTGACTGCTGAGGCCTGGGGAGAATGGGGCGTTTATTATAAAGGAGAGAGAACTTGATAATAAATGGAAAAAATGGAAATTTTAAGCTAAAGAGATGCTTTCTACTTTAACTTTTATGTTTCTTCTTTGAGAAAAAAAAAGCTGTTATACATCTTGCCTTTAATAAACATTGTCTCTTGTGTGCTTGCTGCTGAGCCTGGAACTATAAGGCCTTGAGAGTAGGCACTCTAATTGTACTCTATGGTTTTTGTTCCTTTTTTTTGTTTTAATATCAAACTTAAACACAAAAACAGTTGAAAGAATAGTGCAAGGAACTCCTTTATACCTTTTACTCAGATTCCACAGTTGTTTTGCAGTTTTTTCCATTTGCTTTAGCAGTCTCTATACATAATCTTACGGATTCGCATATTTTTTTCTGAACCACTTGAGAGTAAGCAGGAGCCAAGCACCTTTATCCCTATATACTTTGGCATGTATTTCCTAAAACAAAAACACTCTCTTATAAACCACAGTATAGTGATTAAAATTAGGGAATTTGTCATTGATACAATATTATTATCTAATCCACAGATCATACTCAAATTCCATTAGTTGTCTCATTGTCCTTTATGTCTATTTTTTTTTTTTCCTGGTTCAGCATCCAATCCAGGATCATGCATTGCATTTAGTAATCGATTCTTATTCAATGGTCTAATTAAATCATTAGCTATCATCTTTTATTTAATGGTGAAATTGTCCCAGATTCCACCACTGGGAAGCCTTTCAGTTGGCCTCTGTGTCCTTTCAACCTGTTACTATCCTTTGAGCACTTTCTTACTTTCTGGAACAACAAAATATTCTAGTCTCATCTCGTCTTTTCCCGACTCTGCAATCAGCCGTTTCTCCAAGGATCCCTAATTCCTTTTAGTGACAATGTTATTTAGAAACAAAGATCTAGTGCTCCAGATGAGTTTTTCTGTCATTGCTTCTAGGCCCCTTTGGTGTACAGAGCTAGGAAATATACTTGCCCATATTCACACTTGCCTGTGTTCATACGCTTATATATACACATGTCTGCATTGGTTTTTATGTCTCTCACTGTGAACAATGAATTCATTTTGACATCTTTCATTTTAGTTCTGTGTTTTTGGGGTTCATTCTGATCTTCTCCATTTCCATATTGTAAACCCCTTCTCCAGTGATGAGAAACCTGGCTCCCATTTTCCTCAATATATTTACTCATATACTCAATCCCAAAACACACAGAAAGTAATTTAAGAATTGCTAACCTTACCTTTGTATTAAGCAAACTATTAATAAGACTTCAGTATGTTTACAGTTCTTTTTGCAAGGTAACATTTACATATTGTGAGATGAATAATACTAAGTACAATTTGACATGTTTTAACAGATGCATACATCTGTGTAATTTCACTTTTATCAAAAATACAATTCATTTCAATCACTGAAGAAAGTTTCTTTATGCTTCCTTCCCAGTCAATGTCTACCTCCCAGAGGCTAATTTCTCTTCTGATTATTTTTTACCAAAAATTAGTTTTCTCTCATCTAGAATGTCACATAAATTGAATCATGCAGTATGAACTCCTTGGTGAATGGCTTCCCTTGCTCAGCATGTTTGTGAGATTCATCTATGTTTTGAATGTATCTGTAATTTGTTATTTTTTTATGGCTGGGTAGTATTCAAATATTTGGAATTATTCCACATTATGCACTTATTTATCCATTTTCCTTTAGATGATGGGCATTTGGGTTTTCAGATTTTGTAAGTAAAACTAGTCTGAACATTGTAATACAAGACTTTTTGTAGACATATTTTTTCTTATTTCTCATTGGTAAATATATAGAGTGGTATTGCTGAGTTATGCAGTAGCTCTGTGTTTAATTTAAAAGACACTGTCAAACCATTTTCCAAAGTGGTCATAACATTTTATACTTCCATGAGCAGAGTCTGCTCTCGTTGCTCTAGTTGTTCTGCCTGCATAGCATAGTTCTTACCCATCTTTTTAACTAAATAGTTCAGGAAGAGTGTAGTATCTCCTTATGGCTTTAATTGGCATTTTCCTGATAACCAGCGATGTGATAAGCCCCTTTTCATGTGCTTATTGGAAATATATCTTACTTTGTGAATTGTCTCTTCATACTGTTGGCCTGTTTTTACATTGGGTTGTCATTATCAATTAGTTGTAGGAATTTTTAAAAATTTGGATGCAAATCCTTTGTCAGATATGTGCATAGTAATATTTCACTCATTCTATAGCTTGCCTTTGCATTTTTAAATGGTGTCTTTCAATGAGTAGAAGTTCTTAACTTAGATGCTAAAAGTCTACTTTATCAATATTTTTAATATTAGTGTTTTTGTGTACTGCCCAAGAAATCTTTGTCTACTTCCATGCCATGAAGATACTCTCTACTGTTCTCTTCTAGAACCTTCACAGTGTTATCTTTTACATGTAAGTCTGTGGTCCATCTTGAATTGATTTTTTTAAAAATAGTGTATGGTCAAGCTTTATTTTTATTTTCCATATGGATATCTACTTGTTACAGTATCGTAATTTGAAAAGATTTTAGTTTTACTCTAAATTGCTTTGTACCTTTGTGAAAAAGATATAACCATAAAATTTGGGTCATTTTCTGGACTCCTTAATTCTTTTCCATTGATCACTTTATCTTTATACCTATATGGTATAGTCTTGATTATTTTAGCTCTAGAGTAAGCTTACAATCAGGTAGTGTGAGTATTCCAACTTTGTTCTTTTCTTTCAATATTTGCTTCGGCTGTTCCAAGTCTTCTGCATTATTACTTAAAATTGAGAGTCAGCTAGTCAGTTTCTGTTTAAAAAACCTTTTGTGATCATGATTTAGGTTGTATAAAATTGATATCTTAACTATATTGAGAATTTCTATCTGCTAATATGGTATCTTCATTTATTTAAGTCTTTAATTTCTCTCAGCAATGTTGTGTTGTTTCTGGCAGAGAAGTCTTGTATGTGTTTTATTAACTTTATTCCCAAGTAGATGCTATCACAAATACGATTAAAGTTATTCTGAAAAGTGGCTGCTAATATTTACAGTTGATCTTTATATATTGAAACTGATCTCGTATTTTGAAACTTATGTCTTGTAAAGTTTCTTAATTCACTTATTGACTCTAGTAATTTGTTTATGTAGAAAATCTAAGGCATCTACAATCATCTAATCTATTAATAGAGCTTTACATTTTCCTTTTATTATTTCTGCCCTCTATTTTTCTTGCATTGAGCAAGAACAGACATCTTACTTTGTTCCAGGTCTTAGGGGGAAAACATTCAGTTAAGTGTACCATCAAGTATGATGCTTGCTGTAGAGTTTTTTAATGTGCTTTTTATAATTTTGCAGGAGTTCCCCTTTATTTCTGGCTTGCTAAGAGTTTTTATCATTAATTGGTATTGATTTTTGACAAATGATTTTTCTACATCTTGAAAGGACAGTGTGGTTTTTTTCTTTTTCATTCTTTTATTATGATTGTTTAATTTTTTAAATATTGAGCAATCTTATATTTCAGGGTTAGACTTTGGTCATCCTTATTATTCTGCATATATATGACTGGATTCAGTTTGCTAATATGTTGAAAGAATTTTTTGATTGTCTTCATATAGATATTGGCCTATAACTTTTTTCTCTTGTAATGTCTTTTTCAGGTTTTGTTGTCAGAGTTCTGCTAGTCTCATAGAATAATTGGGAAGTATTCTCTCCTCCTCTCTTTTCTGAAAGAGTTTATGTAAGAATGATATTATTTCTTCCTTAAATGTTTGATAGAATTTATCAGTAAAACAGTCTGGACCTATGGTTTTCTTTGTGAAGGGCTTTTAATGACAAATACAATTTTGTTAATGGTCAAAGGCTTCACAGGTTTTCTGTTTAATCTCTGTCAGTTTGATAAGTTGTACTTTTCAAGGTGTATGTTTATTTCATTTAAGTTGTTGAATTTATTGGCATACAGTTGTTCATAATATTCTTTTATTATCCTTTTAATGACTGTAGGAGCTATACTGATATTCACTTTTTCATTCCTCATATTGGTTAATTTGTGTTTTTTCTCATTTTTCTTGATCACTCTTACTAGGTTTTTATCAATTTTATTAATCTTTTCAAACACTTTATTAGCTTTCCATATTATTGGTTTTAGATCTCTGTTCTTTCTTTCCTTTTACTTTGGATTTAATTTGCTGTTCTTTTCCTGGACTCTTAAGGTTGAAACTTGGATGATTAATTTTAAGTCTTTCTTCATTTCTAATATAAGCCTTTAAAATTGTAAATTTTCCTCTAAGCACTGGTTTAGCTGGGTCCCCAAAGTTTGACTGGTTGTCTTTCTGTTGTTATTTGATCTGAAATATTTTCTAATTTCCTTTGTGATTTCTTCCTTGACTTATGGGTTATTCAGAAATGTGTTGTTTAATTTCCAAGTATTTAAGGCTTTGCTAGACTTCTTATTGTGGCTAATTTCTAATTTAAGTCTCTTGTGGTTAGAGAGCATACTTCACGAGATTTCAGTCTTTTGATACTTATTAATACTTATTTTATTGCTTGGCCTGTTTCATTGTGATGAGTGTTCCCTGTGCACTTGCAAAGGATGTGTATTCTGTAATTTTTGACTGACATGTTCTACACATGTCAAATCAAGTTGGTTAATGGTGTTGTTCAGAGCTCTTCTGTATTTTTACTGATATTTTTGTTTCTGTCCTTTATTGGAGACTGGTATTAAACAGTGATTGTGGATTTGTGGATTTCTGCCTTTGATTCTGTCAGTTTTTGCTTCATGTATTTTTAAACTGTTTCTATACACGTTTATGATAAGGCTTTCTAATGAATTGACCCTTTTATAATTATGAAATATTTCTCTCTCTGATAATACTCTTTTGTCTTAAAATTTATTTTGTTTGATGTTAACATAACTACCCCAATTTCTTTTGCTTACTGTTTGCATGGTGTTTTTTTGAATCTTTTTACTTTTAATCTATCTGTGCCTTTATATTTAAACCAGCTCTTGTTATTAGCATATATTTGAGCCTTGTTTTGTTATCTAGTCTGATGGTCTCTGCCTTTTTAATTGGTGTGTTAGTCTTTTTGCCTTTTATGTAATTTTTGTTATGGTTGTATTAAGTCTGTCAGTTTGCTGTTTTTCATTTGTCATATCCTTTTGTTTTTCTTTTCTGCATTCCTTTGGGTAAATCAAATTTTTTTTAATATTTGACTTTATTCACTATGTTGTCTTTTTACTTTTTGTTGTTGCTGTAGAGTTTAAGTATTTATCCTTAATTTATTATAGTCTACTTAGAATTCATATTTTACCACTTTGCGTGTGGTATGTATTTTTGAGTAATTTTAATACATATTTATATATTTTCTCTTCATCTTTTGAAATTAAAACTCTTACTAGAGCTAGAGATAACGAAGCGCAGTGTTTCAGAAGTGAAAGTGAAAATTCAGAACATTAAGTTTATTCTCAGCCAGTTTCAAATCCAGGAGCTGGAAGTGTCCTGTTCCTTTAGTCTTTCTTTTGAGTGTGGAATAAAAAAAAAAAAATTTTAAAGTATGTCTTGTACATGTCTCAGTAAGAAAACAAATGATGGAAATTACATTATAAGTACTCGTTTTCTTTACTCAAGGCTTGAAGCTGCAAAAGATGATTACCGTGTTCACTGTGAAGAACTTGAAAAGCAACTAATTGAATTTCAGCATAGGAATGATGAACTGACTAGTCTTGCTGAAGAAACAAGAGCCCTGAAAGATGAAATAGATGTTCTGAGGTATGGCATATCTAAATATAATTATGTCACTTCTAAGTTATTCCGTAGTCATTTCGGTATATCATATTCTAATCAGTGATTCTTAGGTTTATTCCTGTGTATTAAGTACTGATCAGTTTTTATCCAGGCTCATAGTCTTTACTTATTTTATGCTTGTTGATGGTAATTGCAGTTTAAGGAGAATATTCAAATCTTGTTACCACATTTTTTTTTTTTTTTTAAGAGAGGGAGGATTGGGGGAGGGTAGGAGCAGAGGAAGAGGGAGAGAGAGAATCCCCAGCAGGCTCTACTCTTAGTGCAGAGCCAGACGTAGGGCCCGATCCCACAACCCTGAGAACATGACCTGATCTGAAATCAAGAGTCGGACACACCCAACTGACTGAGCCACCTGTGTTAGCACAATTTCATATTAGAATTCATAAACCCAAAATGATACCTTTTTTTAAAAACTGTGTGAGCTGAACTACTTTTAGATACATTTAGCTTGACCTCCTTGTACTCATTAGTGTATCTTGTGAACTTTTTACATAAAGGAAAGCATTCTCAATCCATATTTTGGCATTTGATATAAAATAGGTATAATTAAGTTAACATTTATTTCAGGGTTATCCCAAGGTTCTCTTATTGTCTTTGACAATGTATAAAATTTTTATTTGGCTTTTGCCTGTGAAATGTTAATCAAGCAAACAGACTATCCATATGCTCTTTATGTTTTCTGTTAAATTTTCTTAATGGGCCATTCTGTTGCACAGTTTTTATATCCATTTGAAACAAAATCTTTATACCCATTCGTTTGAACCTGTATGTGATGGAAAGTGATCTGGTTTATGTATTTACTTTTGCTCTAGCCCAGTTGGTTAGGTAAGCACAACTCTAAAGCAAAGTTCTTTGTCAGACAAATTGTAAGTCGAGTCAACTTCCTAAGTATATCAAATACTTAGGACAAAACTGTACTAAATGCTATACACAAAGCAAAATTGGCCCATAAGCTACAGAGAAGCTTAGAATTGTTCAGTTGCATTTGCAAAACCATTTTTTTTAAACATTGTGCCGTATGAAGTGGTTTGATAATTTAGTGTGTCAGATTTAAGGCATTTTTGTTCTGATGCCTTTACAACAAAAAGGTTCAATGCTGGATTTGAGTCTTTTTCCAAAGTTCCCACAAAGTTTATTTCTTTTGTCTGTCTTTCTCATTTCCTTCCTTCCTTCCTTCCTTCCTTTTTTTTTGTTTCAGCCAAGTGATTATCTGGTTGACTAATTTTACAGACAGAATAAAATTGTTATGTGCATTTACTAGTTCTTACCCAGTAATGTGCAGTCTTTATTATCATAGGGCTACCTCTGATAAAGCAAATAAACTAGAGTCAACAGTCGAGATATATCGTCAGAAGCTACAAGATCTGAACGACCTTCGCAAGCAGGTGAAAACTTTACAAGAAACAAACATGATGTATATGCATAATACAGTCAGCTTAGAAGAAGAATTAAAGAAGGCAAATGCAGCACGTACGCAGTTAGAAACATACAAGAGGCAGGTAAGGAAATATCTTAATTTTTAAAAATAAAATCAAAAGACTCAACTTCCTTTTGATTCCTTTTGATACTTTAAGAATGATAGAGATGTGAAGAAACATTGCCTATAGTTGGCTGTGAACTTATGATAGAATTCTTCTACTTGTGATTTTAATTCCAGGGTTGATAATTGAATTTGAGTTATCTAGGTCTTTCCCTTTTTATTGTCTTCTGAGCTTATATATATTTTTGGGCATTTTATTGTTTATTAGCATTTCTGGTAACCAGTAATAATTGCCTAGAGAATGGAGCTATAACTGATAATATTCTGTTTTTCTATTTATCAGACAATTTTTTTTTATTAAATTATTTTAGTAATAGAAGGCTGATTTTTTTTTTTTTACTAAATTATTATTTGGGTACTTTAAAATTTATGTTAACTCTTATTTACATGCTATTTTCACAACTATTTAGGATTACGTGATTATATTCTTACTTTATAAATTTTATTTCCAATCAGTTTCTCATTTATTAAACTCTGAAAAACTATTAATATTATATACTCTTGTTATCTACTTTTGTTTCTGACAAAAGGTTCAGGATCTTCACAATAAACTTTCCTCTGAATCCAAAAGGGCAGATACACTAGCATTTGAAATGAAGCGGCTTGAAGAAAAACATGAAGCTTTACTTAAGGAAAAAGAGGTACACATGAATATAGTAGATGAGTAATATGTCTGTCTTCTCTCTTAGTGTTTAATATTATCCTTGCTGTTCTAAGAATGGAAGTCATGTCAATCAGATCTTCTTCTGTCTTTTTCCAAATTCAAGTGTTGGTATAAAAGAAAGTAGTAGAAATTTAATGTGCAGTGTTGTTAATTGCCTTCACAAGGGAAGATGAAGTCACGGAGGCGAGGCCGTGTGTCTCATTGCACGTTTTCCCATTCTAGACCGTTGGCTTCTTGAGAGCAAGGACCATGGATTTTATTTTTTAATGGCATTGTTGAGATATAATTTGTACCCCATAAATGCTGCCCACTTGAAGTGTACAGTACAGGAGTCGGTGTATTCGCAGCTGTGCAGCCATCACCACAGTCGGATTTTAGAGCGCTGTCGTCAGCCCGTTAGTGTGCCTGCTGGCGGCTGCCCTGCATCGGGCTCCCCTCCCCACGGCCTTCGCAACCATTCACCCATTTTCTGTCTCTACAGATTTGCCCAGTCTGCCCAGGGTATGCCATCATACACTGTATCAGTTTTGTGGCTAGATTCCTTCATGTGGATTAATGCTTTCAAAGTTCATCGGTGTCATAGCATGAATCAGTACTTTGTTTTAATGTTGAATAATACTCCATTCTATAGATATACCACATTTTATTTATCCATTCATCATTTTATGGACATTTGGGCTATTAAACAAATAATGTGGCTATGAACATTTATTTAGAAGTTTTTATGTAGGCATGTGTTTTCATTTCTTGAGTACGTACCTAGGAATGGTACTGCTGGGTCATATGGTAACTATGGTTAAACTTTTAAGGAGCTACCATGCTGTTTTCTAAAGTAGATGAACCATTTTTCATTCTCATCAATTTGTAAAGGTTTTCAGTTTCTCCATATCCTTGCCAACACTTAAGACTTTTAATTTTAGCTAACCTAGTGAGTATGAAGTGGTATGCTATTGTGGTTTTGACTTGCATTTCCCTAATGACTAATGATGTTGAGCATTTTTTCATGTACTTACTGGCCATTTGTATGTCTTCCCTGGAGAAATGTCTCTTCAAATCCCTTACTCATGTTTTATTTAGGATATTTGCTTTTTTATTGAGTTGTAAGAGTTCTTTATAGATTATGGATATAAGTTCCTTCTCAAATATATGATTTGCAAATATGTTCTTTTATTCTGTGGGTTCTTCTAATTTTTTTGATGGTGCTGTTTGCAACAGAATAGTTTCTCATTTGATGAAATCAGTTACCTATTTTTTTCTTTTGTTGTTTATGCTTTTTTGGTAGTATTTCTGTGAAATCACTGAGTACTCTGAGGTTATAAAGATTTTTGCTTATGTTTCTAATTTTACAGTTTTAGCTCTTATATTTAGTCTGATTAATTTTGAATTAATTTTTGTATATGGTGTAAAATAGGGGTCCAATTTCATTCTTTTGTGTGTGGATATTCAGTTGTCCTAGCACTATTTGTTGACAAGATGATTCTTTCCCTATTAATTGTCTTGATACCTTTGTTGAAAATCAATTGACCATGATATTGTAATGATGGATACATTATACATTTGTCAGAACCCATAAAAGTAAAACAGAGTGAACCCTAATGTCCTTTAGTTAATAATAGTGTATCAGTATTGGCTCATCAGTTCTTCCAAGTAACCACTAACTTTACCTCACTTGTTACTCAGGACACTTTTGCAAGGGTTATGTATCTGCACTTCCATATTGATGATGTGGATACTAAAGCCAAAGAGTCAAATAACTGACTGTAGGTGATATAATAACTAGGAAAAAGTGAGACTGGAGTTCAAGCCATGATCTATTTGCCTCCAAAGTCCATGCTTTTTTTTTTTTTTAATTACTCTGCGGTTGCACATTTGTACTCCATTGCATAATTACATCAGTTTGGTTCAAAGATAAATTATCTAATGGGGAAATTAGAAGATTTATGTTGTATCAAGATTATTTACGTGATTTATGTAAGGGAAAATTACCTCTTAGCGCTGAAACTAAAATGTCACTTTTAAGCAGCAATTATGAAATTAACTTAAGATAAATTATTATAAGCATAAATTACATTTCTGGTGGGCAAAATTAAATATTTTGCTAAACAATTCTTTTTTAGAGACTAATAGAACAACGTGATACTCTGAAAGAAACAAATGAAGAGCTTCGATGTTCACAAGTACAACAAGATCATCTAAACCAAACAGGTGAATTTTGTTGGATTTAGAAAAGTTTTTTTTAATGGTAGAAATACTGAAATGTTAATCTTTTGTTGTTGTTGTTTAGATGCATCTGCTACAAAAAGTTATGAGAATCTTGCTGCTGAGATTATGCCAGTGGAATATAGGTAAATTTGTTTTTATTAATTGATAATCTATACTTAATATTAGAAATATGATTTCTTTCTAAAAAAATTATTAGCCTTTAGAGTGTTCCCTTTTATGAGTCATGGAGCTCAAAATTACTTTGTCTCATCTGCTTGAACTTCTTAGATTTTTTTTTTTTAATTTTTTTTTTTAAAGATTTTATTTTATTTTTTGACAGACAGCGAGAGAGGGAACACAAGCAGTGGGAGTGGGAGAGGGAGAAGCAGGCTTCCCCCTGAGCAGGGAGCCCAATGTGGGGCTCCATCCCAGGACCCTGGGATCATGACCTGAGCTGAAGGCAGCCACTTAACGACTGAGCCACCCAGGCACCCCTGAACTTCTTAGATTGTTACTGCTACTACAGCAGTTTTAGAATTTATTAGAAGTAAAATTTCACAAACTAGATGAATAAAATATTCTAGTTTTTATAATATGACTTTTATTGCGTTGAACTTCTTTTCCTACCCATAAACTCAATGGAAAAACTTTTTTATACCTGGCATTCACATCCACACAGGTGAAACTAATAAGAGAGGAGCTATGAAGAATAGCAGAAGGATTAAACAGAAGTTAAATAAAATACAAATTTTAGAGTTTCCTTTTAACCAACTTTTATCGTGGTATCTTACTGCTATGTTTGCTTCTAGGTATTTGACTAATCTGGTATCTTTTTATGGTTTTCCTTTCCTTTTTGTGGTAACAGTTTTATTTACTACTTCAGACTCTACTCTTAAGCAGATTTATTGAGATATAATTCACCCATTTAAAACTGTCTGGCTCAGTGGTGTTTAGTGTAGTCATAGAATTGTGCAGCTATCTGATTTGAGAAGATTCCATTCCCCCCCAAAAAATACCCTGTGCCTCTTAGCAGTCATTCCTCAGCCCTGCGTGCCCCCAGGCTCCAGGACTAGGCAGCAGAGAATCAACTCTTTGTCGAGTTGCCTGTTAACGGAATTTAACATACGTGAGTCCTACAATAGGCAGCCTTTTGTGACTGCTTTCACTCAGCATATAGTTTGCAAATATGTTAATTTTCATTTTGTTCAATTTTTTGTTGTTAAGACAGAGCTCCTTACATGCTGGACTGGCAAGCAACTTTTTAGTTGTTAATATCCAGTGATATTAATGTCACTTTAAAAACAGCCATTTGAAAAAAAAATAGCCGTATGCACTGTATTTTAAAGTCATGATGTTGCCATTCAGAAGAACACAAATTGAGATTAAATGAAATTAGTTGCTTTTAAGAAATTGCATTTAGGGGCATCTGGGTGGCTTAGTCAGTTAAGCATCTGCCTTCGGCTCAGGTCATGATCCCAGGGTCCTGGGATCGAGCCCCGCATCGGGCTCCCTGCTCAGTGGGAAGCCTGTTTCTTCTTCTACCTGCCACTCCCCCTGCTTGTACTATCTCTCTCTCTCTCTGTCAAATAAATAAATAAAATCTTAAAAAATGCATTTAGGGAGGCAGCAGGTAGGAGAACATCACTTTTTTATTTAATATCATTCCTATCATTTGCATTTTAGAAAATGTGTATTTGTAAACTTTTAAGAAAAATTTTTTGAAAACAAAAAAACCTAGAAGTAGTCATATGACTGTCATCATAAGAGTATATTTAAAATATGAAACAAACTGATTTCTTAAATCTATTGCTTTTAATGCATATATTTTCTGAGATTATGCTATAGTGAATAGCATCTAAGTTACCAGTAAAATAACTCTTTTCTTTTGGAATTTGCATAATATTTAATGATATATAATATAATACTTACGCTCTGAAAAATTTATTACTTGTTTTTTGAGACAGTCTTACAATGTACATAGTTTTTTCTTAAAAAATTTCAGAAACATTTTTAAATGACAGCTATTGAATGAACAGGAATTTTCTAAAAGTTCACAATGTAAAAAAATGTAAAATGTACATTTAAAAAATTTAAAAACAAACTTGCTTTTCAACCTCAGGGAAGTGTTTATTCGACTGCAACATGAAAATAAGATGCTCCGCTTGCAACAGGAAGGCACTGAGAATGAGCGTATTGAGGAACTTCAGGAGCAGCTGGAACAGAAGCACCGCAAGATGAATGAACTGGAAACCGAGCAAAGGTGACACACAGTTTTGTAATTGACATTCATAGTGATTCCATTAGCTAGCCACGTAGTTAAAATAAGTAGAATTTAAAGAAGTTTAAATTGTTGTTTTCAGCCTCTCACTTCCATTATTTTAGCAGACTTTATTTTTTTTAATTTTTTTATTTTTTAAAGATTTTATTTATTTATTTGAGTGAGACACAGCGAGAGAGGAAACACAAGCATGGGGGGTGGGAGAGGGAGAAGCAGGCTTCCCCCCGAGCAGGGAGCCCGATGCGGGGCTCGATCCCAGGACCCCAGGATCATGACCTGAGCCGAAGGCAGATGCTTAACGACTGAGCCACCCACACGCCCCTTTAGCAGACTTTATTACTGGCTGCTTTTTCTTGAATTTCATTTATATGTTTTCACAATCCACAGAAAATTTAACAAATGGATAAATGACAGTCTGGCTTTGGGCTGCGGTCTGTACATGGATAGAACATAGACCGTGCAGTCAAATTTGAGCCCCATCTCTATTTAAATGTATTAGCTGTTCTGTCCTGGGCAAGTTAAACTCACACTTGGTGTCTTCAGCTATAAAAGCAAATGGTGTACTCATCTGATAGCAATGAGGTGCACAAGAATTAGAGTATTAAAAATATATAACAGTTGATATAGTGTTCACTATATGCCAGGCACTTTTTTCTAAGCACTTTTTTGGTATTCACTCAGAAATCCTCACAAAAACTCTATGAAGTGAGAATTGAAATTATCTCTTTTTTATGGATAAGGAAGCTGAGGTTGAAGGAGGCTAAGTAACTTGTCCAGAGTTACAAGCTAGTAAATTTTCACTCCCACATTTGAACTTTCTGTCAGTCTGATTCCTGAGTCCGGACTCTTAACCACTGTGCCAACTTGCCTCTTATAAATAGCATATTTTGCTATAAAACTATTTGATTTTATTTGACCAAACTTTATTAGATCTTAGAGACCACCAGGAATTTTAGATACACTTGAACCTTCTCTCTCAAACTTGTATATATTGTATTACATCAACATTTTAGCTTTCTGAAAGGACCAGATTTTACTATCCTATCCAGTTCAATATCAGCACTGGAGATACAAAGTTTCACCTTTTAAAGAGTTACTATAGGAAGATAGACATATGAATAATGATTATATTATGTGATACCTGCAATAGTGGAACAGTGGAGTGTTATAATAGGCAGGTGTGTTAGGTCATATATACATGAAAAGAGACCGTCAGATACTTTCTCTTGCTGGTAACCTCAGCGGAGGTAACTCTTAAGCAGGGTTTTAAAGAAGATTTTGCCAAGTTAGAAATGTGCCCTAGTTGCTAGTGTTAGTCTCTTTAATTTAAATAAAAAGTTATGAAGAAATGATTGGAAAATGGTGGCCTTGGTCAATACACTGTGAAATCCGAAACAAGAAGAAGAAACCTAGTTCCCATTCATTAAAGATAAAAGTATAGGAAAACTGAACTACTTTTCTGATTTTCGTACCAGCGAGGACAGTGCAGAATTGATGTGCTTTTGCAGCTGGCACACAAGTATCTGAAATTTTTAAATGTGGGCATATATACGTCCATGATAAAATGTCTTCTTTTTTAAAAAGTATTTTCTTGCAAGTAGCCTACTGTACTTACACTATATGTTATACCTAGCCACAGACAATTGTTGGGCATTCATCATTGCTATTAAATGCAGACTTCATGTGTTAAATTGCACAAATGTACCTTTATAGATCCATAACTACTTTGACTTTCAACACAAATAAATACATATGATTCATCTTAACAATAGGCTGAGCAAAGAGCGTATCCGAGAGTTGCAGCAGCAGATTGAGGACCTCCAGAAATCTTTACAGGAACAAGGCTCCAGGTCTGAAGGAGAAAGTGTAAGTAACTTAAACATTGTAATAATTCTGCTGTGTGTGGACTCTCTGCCATAGGTCCTGATGGCCAAATTAGTCCTGTATTTGAAAGTGCTACCCTTATCTTTGGGGGTACCCTCGAATACCGTATATATCTGCATAACAGATGCAGTGATTTTGCCAACTTGGAGCCTATAAATTAATCGTATGTATTGGAAGGTGATTTCTATCTGTCCTACTTCAACAGCTACACCTGAATTCATGGTAATTCCTGTTTGAGAGCATGCTACGAGTGAGGTCTTCACAGCTCTTTTCTCAGGCTTGAGAAAAGTTCTAGTAAGAGTAGTCAGCAGTCAGAATTGAGAAAATCTAACAGAGAGGAGAGAGTAAGACAATGATTTCTACCAAAGAGCGTCAAAGAAGTGGATCATACCAACCTCCAAAAGACAGAAACCTTAATGCAGTTTTGAAGACATCAGTCACCCCTTATTTCTTCCCTCCTTGCGAGCAGACTTATGGCCTCGCCATTTCTAATGGGCTTTGATGGCAAACATTGTAGGGGACAGATAAGAGGACTCAGCAGAGCTCGAACAGCCCAAATCTGAATATACCTAGCAGTGTGTCTGTAGTTGGATCTCTGTATGCAGAGGGGAAAAGAAGTAACAGTGGAGGGAGGGAGGCATTTAACTATAACAACAACAAAAAGATAGGGCTCAATGTACATTAGATACTGGGTAGATACAATGTGAGGTGGTTGTACCTGTGTTGATGGGGGAGAGAGCTATTAAGAATAAGTAAAGAGATGAGAAAGAAGACTGAAAGGGTTGTGTTTCCTCTCTGTCTTTTATATGCTTTATATGATTTTCTCTTTTTTCCTCGGGGGCTTGGAAAATAGAAATCGTCTCATGCATGGCGGCATCTCGTATGTGCATATATACGGTATTGTAATCTCTCTAATACAAATATTTTTTCTAAGCCACAGTAGGGAATACTTTTAAAATGGGATCTATTTGGGGGGAGTACATTTTTGGATTGCAGTATTTTTAAAGATTTTATGTTTCTCTTTTTAAAATGTATTAGTGTCTGAGTTATATTTCACATTATATGTTTTAAACCCTTCATTTATCTATTCAGTAGATGATCTTGAACTAGCCTTGCAATTTAAACTCCTGCTTTTTAAGGAGGAAGTTTTATGTCTTAAATTTCATTTTTTAACAAAATCCACTTGCTCTGTTTTGATGTTAATATTAAAGTGCTTGCATTTGTAATGATAACGCTTTATTATAAAGATAATTATTTAAGTCTATTCTTCATTTAAAGGCCTAAAATCTTAAAATTTATATTTTAAATAATGATTTTTAAATGTTTGATACTCCTCAGTATATCACATTCAGCTTTCATTTGCTATTTTTCTTCAAGTTTAAATTTTATTTTCATGGTATTCAGAAATATGAAGCATTTTTCTTTTTTTACTATTGTACTCATCCTTCTTTCATTTCCTAACCTCCTTTCCTTTCCCTTTGAAGTAAAAAATACCTAAAATTTTATGTTTTTACGAGTATGTTATTAGAAATACAAATTTTTGAAACATTTACAGTTTTAAATAATACACTTCAAAAGGAGATAAAGAGATTTTGATGTCTGGAAAATTTATCTTTGTCACAAAAGTTATTTTACAGCAACTTTTTTTAATTTTTATAGTCCAGCAAACTAAAGCAGAAGTTGGAAGCTCATATGTAAGTAAAACTGATATTTCATTTCAAATATGCAAGGGGAAGGGTTTTAAAAACTTCTAAAGTTAAAAAAAAAAAACAAAAAAAACCTTCTAAAGTTAGTATCCTTTTCTGATTTTGTTTATAAGAAAAATCCCCTGATGGCAATTGAATGTTCACCGCTGCCACCAAGAAGTGAAAAGAAAAATGTTCTAAAATATTCAGCCTGCCTGCCAGTGATCCCAGATCCTACATTTTTCAATCACTAATGTCATTTGAAGGGTTTACAAAGCAGACAACTGTCACAACTTGACTGTGTGGGGATGTGGGATGTTTAACCAATAAAATATTTCCTTTGACTTTCTTAGGAAGCAAGGATGGCAAGGGGAAAAAATTAACATTTTTAGCACCCATCATGTGCCAGGCAGTTTACCTTCTCACAGCAACCCCTATAATATTTGGCAGGTATTACTCCCATTTCACAGGTGAGGAGATTCAGGATCAGAAAGGGATTTGCCCACAGTCCACAAATGTTATGTGGCAGAAATCAGTTTTCATTCTTAGGTCTGTTTGTTTCCAAAACTCCATGCTCTTTCCACTACTTAGGGAAAAACTAACTGAGGTCCAGGAAGAATTACAGAAGAAACAAGAGCTCATTGAGGATCTTCAGCCAGATGTAAACCAGAATGGTAGGTATTTGTAAAAACCTGGATCAGACTACATCTAAGGACTTGCCCTTTTTAGTTGAAGGATGCAAAGAACTATGTATAAGTTTCTGGACATTCCATAAATACATGCATTGCAAATAAGAACCATGGTAATTTTTTAGTGATTTAAGTAATTAATAAATGATCTAATCTTAAAGCAAAAAAAAATCTAATAAAATGAACTGATTGATATATAGGAGTATCAAACATTGTAAAATATAGTAGAATTAATACTATGGAAATGTAAATAAAATAGTGTATAATCAAAGTAACCTTTAAACATTGTGTAGAAGGCATGCTTTATTTTATAATGATGGTTGTGATTACATTGTAAAGTGTATTTGCTCATTGAAACACTTGAGAGAAAGGAGAAAAATAGCTGGATAAAGCAGATTTAGATATTCTTTAAGCAAGAATAATATGAAATGGGCGCCTGGGTGGCTCAGTTGGTTAAGCGACTGCCTTCGGCTCAGGTCATGATCCTGGAGTCCCTGGATCGAGTCCCGCATCAGACTCCCTGCTCGGCAGGGAACCTGCTTCTCCCTCTGACCCTCCCCCCTCTCATGTGCTCTCTCTCTCTCTCATTCTGTCTCAAATAAATAAATAAAATCTTTTTTTTAAAAAAAAAAGAATAATATGAAATGATCGAGGATGTATTGGTTATAGTTCAAAAGTTTTAGATAAGAATTCATTACAAAGTAGAAATAAACGTTACTCTTTTAAGTTCTCTCATCAGTCTTTAGAAAAAAATATAATAAGTACAGTTCTTGTGTGAAGAGGGAGTATTTTAAATTGGTCATGTTTCATTTCCTTTTCAATAATAGCACAAAAGATCAATGAACTTGAAGCTGCTCTTCAGAAGAAAGATGAAGATATGAAAGCGATGGAGGAGAGATATAAAATGTACTTGGAGAAAGCAAGAAATGTGAGTGACTGATCTTTTGGAGCCCAACTCTTCTGACTCAGGTTCTTATTAAGCCAGTTCCGCCTGTGGGACTGTTCCTCCTCTCTCTGTGACATGTCACTTTGCTCCCTCTTCCCTGCCTTGCAGGCCAGTTTTCATGCTCTCTCACTCTCACTCATGAGCATCAGGTAAAACAAACACAGGGCTTTATTGGGACAGTTTTCAGCAGGGACTGGAGTGACCTCATTAGGGGAGATGACTATTAGGAAGTATGGAACCTTTAGCTCTTAAAGTGAACATTTGCCTTTTGTGAAAATTTAGCTCTTCAAACTTGTTTAAAATTGTTTTAGCCTTCAGTCTAGATTAGACAGTTAGGCACTATTCTGATGTTTACCAGACTAATTTTTTTTTCCTTATTTCAAACTTAAATATCTGTAAGTACTATTCTAATAAAATCTTTTATTTCCATGAATACTGCATATTTTCCTAATTAATTATAAGTATTCTCTCTTAGAGAATGTTAATATACTTTTTTCTAGTTATTGAATAAAAGGATTATATGATGAAGCTTAAAAATGCTGCTAATATGTCTGTTCTTTTTATGTTTAAGTTTTATATTTATTAAGTTGTAAATAGTACCTGCAGCAATAGATAAACCTCATGATCTCAGGGCTTAAAAGGTGGAAGTTACTTCTTGATCACAGGAAGCCCATCCTTCAGTGGGGGAGGGGCTCTGTTCCATGCAATCTGCCAGAGCCCCCAGCTGACGACAGAGGCTTTGCCTTCTTGAACATGGCCTTCCCAAGCTCACTCGAGATAGTCCGGCCGGTAGACAAGGGAGGCCAGCCTAGACTGCACTGGAGGAGATTTGTGATGGGGCAGCCTGGGAGCCGTGAACCACTTTCACCCTCATTTCAATGGGCAACTCAGGCACGCAGCTTCTAGAGAACCCTGGTAAACAAAGGCAGTCAGTCTCTGCCACAGTCCAGTTTCTCTCAACTACAAAAGTATACAAAAGTATAAATGCTCTTAGTAGAAAACATAAAACATAGAAGGGTTCTCAGAGATAACTGCTATTAACTTTTCGGTGTATTTTCTTACCAGAGCATTTTTTTCAATGTATACTGTCTCCGTGATTGCTGACCACAATACAGACCACACACACACACACACACACACACACACACACACACACAGTTTGTATGATCATAGCACATATGATTTTAAAAGTTAAAACACATTTTAAAAGTTAAAATAATTTCCTCATGTTATATAAATGTAATTTAATACTTATTGAACACCTGTTATACTAAGCACTGGGAATACAGCAGTAAACAAGACAGACACTTATGGAGCAGACTTTGCAAAATAAAAGAATGGCTGTATGATACTCAGTTGAGTGGGGTATATCATAATTGACTTAGTCATCATCATCCTGTTGTTGGAAATAGTTCATTTCCATTTCTTTTTTCTTCTTGCTTCTAGAAATAAGACTATAGGCAACATATTTATACAGAAAGCTTGCCCCTTATTTTGGTTTATTATCTTAGCCTTGTTCCTAGGTTAATGGGTCAAATGGAAGTTCTAGGTCAAAGGATAAGAAAATTTTAAGATGCTTGATACTTATTTCTAAATGATATTCTAAAAGGATTACAACTAAATAGACAAAGCACTGACAATGAATACCATATTCTTGTCATCATTGAGCACTATCATTTAAAAAAACAATTGCTTTATAATAAATATGATTTCATTTTTTTACCTTTATGTTATTTGGAGGGAGAGTTAATTATAGTAACATAATGTCCATGATAGAAAATTCAGAAAATAGCGAAAAGTCACAACCATACTTTTTATCACCTAGAGGTAACAAATTATGATGTGTCTTTGTAATTAAATTATGATTTAAACTCTGCTTTTATAATGTGAACTCTGTGAGGGCAGGCACCGAGTCTCCTGTATCCCCACGTGCCCCCACCAAGTGCCTGCCATATTCGGCACTCAGCAAATTGTTCTGAACGAACTGCAGGAATGTTTAGCATATTACCTTTTAGTCTTTTTCCTTTACCTCTATAAATATAGGTGAAATCTTCCTCTTTAAATAATTTTAAATCTTTGTTAATAGATTTGTAATTTCATCATACAGATGATCTTATTATTAGAAATTTGTTTTCGTTCCTGACATACACCTGATATTCCTGAGTTAATTTCTTGTTATTCTGCTGGCTACATAGTTTGCTTGAGTCTCTGAACAACATTCTGATTGAATATCTTTTACCTAAATGTTAGTAATTTCCATAAATGTGATTGAGCCACCCTCTGGTTTGCAGATAAAATCACCAGTTTCTATTATATTGATCTCATATATTGAATTACATTTAACTAGATAATGGTAGTAAAAAGATTGTTGCTATGAATTTTTTGTTACTTTGTATAATCAGTAAGTTCCCATGTAATTATCAAATTCATTTTAATTTAAAAAAATACTCATCATATAAATATGAAAAGTGTTATTTCTTTTCTTTTTTTTTTTTTAAAGATTTTATTTATTTATTTGACAGAGAGAGACACAGCAAGAGAGGGAACACAAGCAGGGGGAGTGGGAGAGAGAGAGAAGCAGGCTTCCCGCGGAGCAGGGAGCCCGATGCGGGGCTCAATCCCAGGACCGTGGGATCATGACCTGAGCCGAAGGCAGACGCTTAACGACTGAGCCACCCAGGCGCCCCGAAAAGTGTTATTTCAAGACCTTAGTGCTCAGAGCTTAATAAGACTAAATTACTGTCTGAGTACCAAACCTGTAGGAAAGGAAATTTTATTTTGGGAGAGGGATCTTTCCATTTTTGTACTGAAGTTTGATACCATTGTACCTTTATAGAGTGCTATTTTTGTTATTCAAATTTAATTGCCAAATAAGCCATAGTTAGTACCTGGATAATTTTACTTCCTGGATAATTTTCCACTTTATTTACAGAGATGCTATAGACAATGTTATTATATTTCAATACTTGATAAAATAAAGTAGATGTAAAATATTTTTTTTCTTTAAACAGGTAATAAAAACTTTAGATCCCAAATTAAATCCAGCATCAGCTGAAATAATGCTACTTAGAAAGCAGTTGGCAGAAAAAGAGAGAAGAATTGAGATTCTGGAGGTAAAATTTTCATATTCACACATCTCCTTTTAATTATCCTGTGTAACCCTCGTGATTAATTGCTGTCATATATCTGCCGTAAATGATCAAGTCTTACAAGAGGTTGGTTGAGGTCAGAAGTTAGAGATGTCATGTTTTAGCACTCGGTGTTTATTACAGAGTCTCGCTAGCCCATGAGATTGGTCTCTGCGAGTGTATGTACTCTGCTGCTTTGTATCTCTCTTCCCCACAACAGCCAATCATGTGGATATCCCTTAGTGTCTAAAAGAGTTCTGCTATAATATTAGCTCCTTTTCAAATTATGTGGATTAGAGTTCATTCAGAAAATATGAAAGAAAAAAAGAAAGAAAGAAAGGGAAAGAAAGAAAGAGGGAAAGGAAGGAAGAAACCAAACTCACCTTTTAAAAAAGGTACCGTACTCAGTTAACCAGATTTTCTTTCTCTTCTCCTGTTCCTCACTTGAACCTAAGTAAAGCTCCTTAGTTGCAATTCCTGGGGGGAAGAAAGTGCTCACAGAATCCAGTAAGCCCTTGCACTAAAATGGCAGTATTGGTTACTAATCATGAACAGCTATGTTAGTGATGACACCTCATTAACTAGCTGAGTCTTCAAATTTTAGAAGTTATTTTTGTGCTAATGATATCATTTTTACTACTTGGGTTAATTATGTCACTCTGGAATTGTATGTTCATAGATTGGACATGTTCTGGTTTCCTTTGCAAAGTGTTTTATATCATATATATTATATCGAGATGCTCATGATACAAAAAGCATACAAGATATGAGGGAGGCACATGAGCATCTTGCTGTAGGAACATTCAAATAGTTTAGTTTATAATGAGTCAACTGTATCTGGTGCTCAGTGAAATTACAAAATTTGCTATATTTGAGGAATTAAATAGATGTCGAGGGTAGTGTGCAAATATGGCCACAGGCAATCTAGTAGACAGATCACCAAGAATTAAGAGAGAAAAATTTGTGTTAAGCTTTATAGAGATTTTAAAGGATTTTCTGGGATATGTTCTACTATATCCTCTTTCTCCTTAGTTTTGACTCCTCCATAGGTGCAGCTCTGTTTTGCCATCTAAGACAGTTGTTACATTCTTCTCTAGATGTAGGGGACAGTAGCATGAGAATCACCAGTTTCATGTTTGTTGTTTTATTGAACATTTCTCAGTAAAATTTTTGAAATAAATATTTACTAGTCATGGTCTTATTCTTTCTTAAAGGCATTGTGCATGCATTCTCCATGATTCTGCTCAGATTTTGACTGCTTTATGCCACACAGTGCATTTTTTAGAATTCTCTGAGCACAGTGAAAAAATGATTCCATTTTTGGTAGTTTCGGTTTATTTCTGGGATTTTGATAGTCCTTGTATCTTTTTCCAGAGTGAATGTAAGGTAGCAAAATTCCGTGATTATGAAGAAAAACTCATTGTTTCTGCCTGGTACAATAAGGTGAGTTGACATTCAGCCAGTGATTGGATGTTGTACTTATCAAACATTTTGACCATGAACCATAGGAGGAAATACATTTTATACCACAAATCAGTACCTGTACATGTTTACATATGTAACTGAACAGAAGTTACCCTGACTGTGTGCATTGTACTCAGGTATCTCCTGTCATAGTCTCTCTCTCTCTCTCTTTTTTTTTTTTAACTTTGGTCATACTTAAAATTGTATATTTTAAATTTTTTTTTTTTTTTTTAAGATTTTATTTATTTGCAAGAGAGAGAATGAGAGACAGAGAGCATGAGAGGGAGGAGGGTCAGAGGGAGAAGCAGACTCCCTGCTGAGCAGGGAGCCCGATGCGGGACTCGATCCCGGGACTCCAGGATCATGACCTGAGCCGAAGGCAGTTGCTTAACCAACTGAGCCACCCAGGCGCCCAAAATTGTATATTTTAATTTAATGTTTTTGGTTGATTTTGATCTTCTCAAAATAAGTAAATTGATTTTGTGACTCATCAACCTTAGTTGATACACATGAAGCACACATACAACAGTTCATAAATATTTCAAAAATTGTCTTGAGTGAAAAGACTTAATTTGAGCTTCATAGGTGTTTCTGTAGAAATAGGAATATCTGTGCAATGCAAAATTAAGTGCTTCTAGTACTCAACATTTATTTTAACATCCCATAAAGCCTCTAAGTGTGTCTTTCACTGTTTTTTTAAAATCAGGAATATTCAGGGCGCCTGGGTGGCTCAGTTGGTTAAGCGACTGCCTTCGGCTCAGGTCATGATCCTGGAGTCCCGGGATCGAGTCCCACCCACATCGGGCTCCCTGCTCAGCGGGGGGTCTGCTTCTCCCTCTGACCTTCTTCTCGCTCGTGCTCTCTGTCTCTCATTCTCTCTCTCTCAAATAAATAAATAAAATCTTTAAAAAAAAAAAAATCAGGAATATTCAGGGCGGCTGGGTGGCACAGTCGTTAAGCGTCTGCCTTCGGCTCAGGTCGTGATCCCACGGTCCTGGGATCGAGTCCCGCATCGGGCTCCCTGCTCAACGGGAAGCTTGCTTCTCCCTCTCCCACTCCCCCTGCTTGTGTTCCCTCTCTCACTGTGTCTCTCTCTGTCAAATAAATAAATAAAATCTTAAAAAAATAAAATAAAATCGGGAATACTCTTCAGTATTGTCTGCCTTAACAAGGAGAGAGTAGTATAAAATTATTTGAAGTGTAGTTTATTTTGTCATCCTTACTCTCAGCAAGATGTTTTCAAGCGTTTCGTGATATATATGGTTCTTTGGATTATTTTAATCCACAGAGAGAGTAACACAGCCATTATCTACTTTAGCTGCTGCTTATTTAGTATGAGAGAATATCACTTTATGGACTCTGTCCATGTGTGGACCCTGTGCTTCACCACATAGAACTGGGTGCCCTGCTTCAAACATGCCTGCTCTTCTATGTCACTGTACTTTTTTCTGTGCTCTTTTCTTCCCTTCTCTATTTGGTAAAATCTGGCTTAATTTAGCAAGGCCATGAAGGAAATTAGAGGTGAAGTGTTCCCGGAACCTTCCCTCATGACTCAGTCATCCTAGTTAAGACTGGGAACATTATTTTCTTTGTTCCTCTGTAGCCTCTTGATACATAAATTATTAAAGATATTAGAGCCAAATAACACATTATTTATTCATTTTCTACCCGTTTCTTTTTTTTTTTTTAAGGATTTGGGGTTTTTTGTTTGTTTTTGTTTTTTTCTTTATTATTATGTTATCACCATACATTACATCATTAGTTTTTGATGTAGTGTTCCATGATTCATTGTTTGCCTGTAACACCCAGTGCTCCATGCAGTACGTGCCCTCCTTAATATACCCATCACCAGGCTAACCCATCCTCCCACCCCCCTCCCTTCTAGAACCCTCAGTTTGTTTCTCAGAGTCCATAGTCTCTCATGGTTCGTCTCCCCCTCCGATTTTCCCCCCTTCATTCTTTCCCTCCTGCTATCTTCTTTTTTTTTTTTAAACATATAATGTTTTATTTGTTTCAGAGGTACAGGTCTGTGATTCAACAGTCTTACATAATTCACAGTGCTCACCATAGCACATACCCTCCCCAATGTCTATCACCCCACCACCACATCCCTCCCACCCCACACCACCCATGTCTTTTGAGCATTTACTATATTTTATGTATTATATTAGTTACTCATGATTCTAAGCTTAGTAAAATTCTGTTATGTGGTCTAGTGAGAAAAAGTAATGATTTCTCTTACTACGAAACCCACCATCCACAACCACAGTAATTCGTCATGTATCCATCAGTATGTAGATAGACGATAGTGAATGTAAACTGTGATGCATGCATCAGAAGACCTGTTAGAACACAAGTTGTTGGACTCGTCTGCAAAACTTCTGATTTAGTAGGTCTGGCTAGAGTCTACAAGGTAGAATTTGCATTTTTAACGAATTCCCAGTGGTGCAAATGATAATTTGGGGACCACATTTGAGAACCATTGATCTGAGTTTTTCTCTTGTGCTATGTATGCTCACAGTGGGTAGAGTGAAGGCCCAAACACAAAGATTTACTTTGGAACCTTTTTTTATTGTTATAATTAAGCTGGAGTTTAGAATGTTTTTAATGATTTCAAATTCGGTAGGTTAAAATAGAGAAACTGGATTTTATGCCTTTGTTTCCTCTTCCTCGCTAACATGATGGTGTACAGATTAATTCGCTTCTGAACCCTTTCCTTTTTCTATAAAATGAGGAAAACAACAGCTTTATAGAATTTGGGGGATTAAGTGACTTAGTAAATGTGAAAAGCATTTTACAGACTCTAAGTAGTCTTGTTATTTGTTTGCTTATTTTTGTTCAGAGCCTGGCATTCCAGAAACTGGGCATGGAGTCTAGGCTCGTGAGCGGCGGTGGCACTGGCCAAGACACTGGTGCGTGTACCCCCGCCCGGTCTTTCTTAGCGCAGCAGCGGCACATCACCAGCACCCGAAGAAATCTCTCTGTCAAAGTTCCTGCTACAACACCCGATTAAACTACAAAAGAAAACATAAACAGAAGTGCCCTTAAAATAGTTTGTATCCTTCAGTTAACTGCCAGGTTAGAAACGAAATTTATGATGGTGGATGTCAGCTATTTAAAAATCAGTATGCATAAAATTAATTTTGTCAGCTGACTTTGGAAACAAAATACAAAATTAGCTATTTCTCGAAGGGAGCACATTTGAGTAGAAGATGTAATTAGGCACACATCTCAAACATTTGTCTTCTGAGAGTGTTATAAGTTCATATTGACGTGGTATATTTTAGTTTAATGTCTTCAGTGGTACCAGTAACTTGGTTAATTTACAATGTATGATCAGTAATAAGTAATTTAAAAATATATATTTGTTTTATTGTTTCGGTCCATATAAAAATAGTCTTGAGGTAGGTACATGGAGAACTATACAAGAGCTATATTTTTTGACTTTATATATGTATAAGGTTTTACCTCTGTCGTCAAATCTGTCATCAGATGGGTCTATTCTATCATGTAATGGAAGATACAACATTTGGAAGATTGGACCATTGCAGTGACTTCTGCCATAGTAAAAGTGACTAATTGGAGATTTTGCAGATTCAGGAGACTTCATAGTTCTTCAATGAACCTCTTATAAACAAGGGCTTCTGTACAGCATGGTTGACATGCTAATGGTATGGAATGAACTGACTTTTATAAAAGGTGATCTTTCTGGTGGGAAGCAAGGCAAAAAATATAATTTGTGTGAAATGTCTATACCTGTTTTAATATGATGATTGTAATTATTGCTTTTAAGCATAAGATTATCAGGGCTTTTGCTGAAAAACATACTATAATAGTTTTTTCCTTGCACTGCAAGGAGATGGTGCAGTGAGAAAACAGTCTGGAATCCATTTGACTTTTGTTTACGAATTAAGGAATCTGTCCGGGACTCAGTTTATGGTCTTCAGTCCACTTCTGTCCAAACCTCTTCTTTTCAGAAATGTTATTTTATAATTTTTTTGGCCATTTTTAAGAGTCACACTTTAGAACTTTAGTTGAGTTAAATCTCTGCTGTCCAGTATTGTGGCCACAAGCCATGTGTGGCAATTTCTATAAAATTAAGATGAAAAATTCAGTTCCTTGGTCACATCCAGTCACGCATTTCCAGATGCTCGATAGCCGTGTGTGGCTGGTGGCTACAGTACTGGAAAGTGCAGATATAAGAAAAGTCCATCATTGCAGAAAGTTCTATTGGACAGTGCTCTGCTAAACCTTTTTATAGTAACTTGGAAATACTCTTTGATATTTGACGACAAAAATAAAAAGAAGAAAAATGTTAGAACTGTTTCAGATATGAAACGGAATTGAATTGTGACATAAAGAGCAGTTTGCATTCCTTAGAGTTGAATACCTTATGTTGTGACGTTCATTGTTAATCTTTCCAGCCGTTCAACAACTGCATCCCTCTCAGTGGATGTCTGGACCAGGGGTCAGCAAACTTTTTATAAAGAGAGAGATGGTAAATATTTTAGTAAATATTATAGGCTTTTTGAGCCATATGATCTGTCCCAAGTACTGGACTCTGCTATAGGTGTGAGAGCAGCAACCGTAAACAATGTATATGAGCAAAATGGATGTTATTGGGTTTCAATACAGTTTTATTTACAAAAACTGACAGTAGGACAGATTTGGCCTGCAGGCTATAGACCCTGGTCTGGATATTGTCAGCCTTTCTTTGCATATATGAGTATTGTTCCATTTACAGTATTATTCATTTAAACACTTGGTTTGTAGATTCTCTACCAATACATTTTTTCTAATCATTGACAGTACAAGAATTTCCTACTGCAGTTAGGTCTCTTAAGATTTAGGGAGCAGCTACCAGGATGTGTTGTCGCATCAGGGTTACTTCTGTTGACTACCTCTTAGATTTTGATGTTTTTTTATTGGTGCAATTATATTGTTGGTTTGCATTTTTGTATATTCTTAGAGTCTGCTTGCCTGCAACTTTTAGTGAAATGAAATAGCCCTTTGAAAATATTTTAGCATGCTAATTAACATTTTCCAGATACTATGGCATTTTGGTATATTTTGGTCAGTGTAAGACATCTGCTCCTTTGGTGTTTACTACTTGCTTATAATTGAGATTTTACAAGCTCTTCAAGCTTCCTTTTATTGGAATTTATTGTAAAACATCAATTTCAATAAATTAGTATTTTCACAGTCAATTGCTCATAAATTTTCAATTATATTTGGAATTTCTAAATAATTCATGCAATTTCTGAATTAGGACAGAAGGCTAGATTCTTTTTTTTAATAGAGAAAAAAACGAATTTTGTGATTTATCACTTTTCTAGTTGATAATTAGAATTTAAGATGCTCAATATAGAAGTATTTATACAAGAGTAATGTAAAGTTCTGTATTATTGTGATTAACCGTACAGAAATTCAGGAACTGATCAGAAGTGAGATTCTTTTCCACATCTGGTTAATGTAGTGAGATTGACACCCTGTGGGTGGTGCAGCATTATAAATATTCATCACGAACCATGATTTATACATGTCTGTGTTGTGAGGCTTGAGTGCATATGCCAGGGAAGAGAAATCCAGCATTTCTCTGTTTGATAAGGAATTGAATGTCCCAGTGATAAAAGATTAAACTACAGACCAATTTGGAAATGATCCTTAATTTTGAGCATTTGCTCTAAGGTTAATATTCCTCTTTTTAAAATAAAAAGTGTGTATATAAATGACAATGATCACTTAATGTATTGAGAAATATTTGAAGTTCATTCTATTTTTTCAATGAGTAAGGCTATTGAACTGATGATTTAGTATAGATTAAGAATTAATGTCTTATCTAGAAACATTAAACTGATATCCTTCATTAAAATGTCATCATCTTTGGTAACTGGATTGCTAATTTGAATGTTAGATAATGCTTCTACATCTACACCTCTTTCTGTATTTTGGCACATTTGGCTCTGTGGGGGTGGCTTTTAGGCCGCAGTACTGTGTTAGGTTCTCCGTATGCATATTTAATAAGAAACATTCCTATGTAAAAAATGTGTGTGTATGGGTGTATGCATACATGCCTATTGTGAACCTGTACATTGCAAAGAAGTAGTTTGGAAATTTGTAAAGCACAACCATTAAAGAAAATAGTGTGCACTTACTAACTTGATGTATCTTAAATGTTACATTTAGTTTATAAAAGGTTCTTTCTATTTTCTATGGCAAAGACTTTGACACTTGAAAAATAGAAGCAATACTTGATTTATTTTTGTAAGTATTTAGGATATTATTTTAAATAAATGATTGCCCAATAACAATATAATAGTTGTGAAAGGTTTTAAATAAACTTCCTGATTTCTGTGTCTGACAATTACAGTGGATTTTTTAGTGGGTATGACTGCACGTTTATTTGCTGCTTTAAATAAAGGACTTCAAATATTTAGTTTGTTAAAGAAAAATAATTGCATAAATTTAATTCTTCTAATTTTGTTTTTCATTTGAATTTTTTGGTGAATAAGAAGATGTGTAAAAGTGATTTGCTGGTGTTCCCTTTTATGTCTTTGGTTTCATCACTGTAATCTAGACATTTTGCATTATCATGAAATCCAGAATATTTCTGGGTTTTCTTTGGCAGAGATTGCTACTTATCTCTCCACAACCATTCTCCCTTTCTTTAGTAACAGAATGCCATATTTTTAGTTTGTTACATTTGCCATCCAATGATGGAGGGGTGGGGAAGGGAGAATAACTATTTCCCAGACTCCATTGTAACTAGGTGAGGCCATTTAACTAGGTTCTGGCCAAAAAGATGTGAATAGTAGTGAGGGGCAACCCTCAGGGACAGTGGAACAACAAGGAACAAGGCACTTGGATCTCTGATGCTGCCATTGAGTCATATCAGCTGTCACTTCCAGCCCAAATTTCTCTTAAGCAATTTTTTTAAAAGCTACTTTATTTTTTTTTTTCCCCAGCATCCTACTTATTTCCTAATCTCTACATGTTTGTTAAAATGAGTTGTGAAATTTTTAGGAAAATGCAGGTGTTCCACATTCTTGGAACATGTCTTGGAAAGGTTTAATTCTGTTGCTGTTAAGGGATGCTCAGTAAATACTTGTTTTATGACATGAATGAAGTTCATGTGCCAGATATGCAAAAATGGAGAAAAAAGTGAAATCCCATCTTCCTTTAGATTGATCCCGTTATCCCAAAACAACATGCTTCTATAAATCTAACTTTTTGAACTTAGCAATAAATGCTGGCCCAACATCATCACATAATTTTGTGATTAGTTCACTAAGAGCAACCAAAGGTTCTTGACCTGCACTGACCAATATGGTGGCTGCTAGCCACAGTGGGTATTGAAACATACATTTTAATTAAATTTTATTCTCTCACAGCCACACATGCCTGGTTGCTACAGCATTGGACAGTGCAAGTAAGGAAATTTCAATCGTCACAGAAAATTGAATTGGACAGCTCTGTTTTAGATGCGTAGGTTGAATGTATACATTCTGCATCTCTGAAGTTTCAGGTGATTTGTGATCACAGAAATGTAGTGAAGTAAAACTTTCAGACCTCTTCCTGTACACAATGACATGCTCAGGGATAGAGCTGCAGTTGGATTCTTAAGCTGGCTATGGTTTCGATGGCGAAGCACTCCACTCCCTTGTCACCTGGGCTGCAGCAACTTGCTATCGGTAAGTAGTAAAAGCTGCAATTTAGATGTCTTGCCTCTTGCTTCAGCTCAAATATTTCCGTCTTCCATAAATCTTTCCAGGGTTCCTCAAACAAGATGAGAGCTATTGTTCTGAAAATTTCCAACTCTGTCTTTGTGACCTTAATGTGATCTACTTTTTTTTTCCCTGAAATGTCTGTCCCACTACATTGGGACATATCTGAGACCATTGGCCATATCTGGTTCATCTCTGTTTCCCCCACAGTACTTGGCACAGTATCTTCTACACAGTCAATATATATGTACTAGCTGAACTAGACTTGTTGATTATGCACAGAACGTTTTCTTTAGAAGTCCAGTCTCAAGACG